GACAAAGTGAGAGAGAGGCATAGACATATATACACTACCAAATGTAAGGTAGATAGCTAGTGGGAAGCAGCCGCATAGCACAGGGTGATCAGCTCGGTGCTTTCAGTGCCTGGAGGGGTGGGATAGGGAGGGTGGGAGGGAGGGAGACGCAAGAGGGAAGAGATATGGGAACATATGTATATGTATAACTGATTCACTATGTTATAAAGCAGAAACTAACACAGCATTGTAAAGCAATTATACTCTAATAAAGATGTAAAAAAAATAATAAGTTAAACGTCAGTAAGCTGATAAGAAATGATCAAAATCTTTGCTACACAAAGACATTATTTTCCAATTCATTTCTCAGATAGGTAAGTATACAGGAAGGAAAAAAAAAAGGAGTTTTCTCTACTCTGTGAGTTAAGAGGCCTTTGGCACTGTTAAAGGCAATGAAAAAGTTTATAGAATCACTGGGAAGACATGAAATTAAGTACCAAGTCTCCAACATTTTTATTACTGTGGACCTCTACCAGCAACAAAACATAACAAAAACACCTCTGCCAGTTATCAATATACTCCAAATTCATCCTTTTTGACTCTCCATAAAAATGGATCTGGGCCCTTTAAATATTTTTCCTTTGCCAAGTGAAGCTTTGTCAGTAGAGAATGCTGGAGAGACATCACAGGAAGAAAAGTTTTGCTTCCTGGTTCCAGTCGGCTTGCCTGGCAGGCTCCTGCACCACTCTCAGCTTCTAGAATCGGTACCAGGTTCCTGCAGTGTGACCAGTTTCTCCAGTGTTCAGTTCCAACAGTGCACGGAGGCCAGCAGCTTCCCTCTAGAATGCCCTGCAGATGGTTTTGTAGCAGTGCCTCTAGAGAAATGCTTTCCTCAGCACCTGAAATACCCTGAACAGCTTTCCTCAGCATCCAAGAGGACAGATTTCCAGCAAGTTCAGCACAGCTCTACAGCAGCTTCTCGGTCAACCAGTGAGCCACACTGTGCCCTCTTCAAGAGGTCTAGATCTCAGCCCTGGGTGTCCTCTCATTGGGTGCTCTGTCCTTAGTCCTAGGGTTACCCCTAGGTATAAGGGTGACTGCTCTTTATATCTGCTATTCCTATATTCTTTAGAGTTCTCTTTACTTTTTGTTAGTCAATCCCTCATTACTACAACCTCTTGTCATAGTTAATAATTCTTTATATTAAACTTCCCTTTTCAAATTAATGTGTGGTTTCTATATTCTGATTGGACCCAGACTTAACATAAACCCTATTTAAAATGTGTATTTATAATAGCGTGCTATCATGTATATTAAATGTGAATAAAATAGAAACTAGAAGGGATATTAAATAACATTTCATAAATCTTTTTTTTTTTTAATATTTATTTATTTTTGGCTGTTGGGTCTTAGTTGCGGCACATGGGCTCTGTAGTTGCGGCATGCGGGCTTAGTTGCCCCGCAGCATGTGGGATCTTAGTTCCTCTGACCAGGGATTGAACCCACGTCCCCTGCACTGGAAAGCAGATTCTTAACCACTGGACCACCAGGGAAGTCCCCATAAATCTTTTTAGACATGCTCACATTTTCTTCTTATACCTTCTTCTTATACCTTCTTATACCTCTGCTACTTTGCAAACCACTAACGTAAATTGTATTATGAGATCTGAAGACAGGGACACTCATCATCATAGCCTTAGTTTTGTGAGCAAGCTTGCAATTTAACCAGATTTTAAGGATGGCTGTTTTTGTCTGATGTAAGAAATTTAAATTAAAATGAGCTGCCTAATGCGTGGAATTTGGATCCCTCACAATGTGTTCTGTTGTCTTCAATGTTGCTTTTGAGAAGTCTGATGCCATCTTTTCCCTAATCCTTTATTTTGGTTTCTGTGTAAGCTTTTCATGTTTTTTCTCTCTGTGGAAATAAAGGCTTTTTCTTAAGAATCCCCTGGTATTCTGAAATTTCACCATGTGTCTGGGCATGGATCTTCTTTCATTCATTGTGCAGAATCTTTATGGCACTTCCAACCTATTCACATCCATCAATGCTGGGCTATTTTCTTATGAATTTCCTACCCTCGATTTTCTTTCTTCTCTGCTATATTCTAAGATCACTCCTGGATCAATCTTCTAATTTTCTTATCTTTTCCCTACTATAGTCCATCTCTTTTATCTTTTGGTTCTATTTAATGAAAGAGTTCTTTAGCTTACTTTTCTACTATTTTTGTTTGCTTTTAGTTATCCTTTTTGAAAAATTTCAAGTATACTTTATTCTTTGATTGTTCCTTTAGTAAAAGAGCATCATGTTCTTGTTTTATGTATGCAGTATATTCTCTCAGTTCTCTGAAGATTTGGTGCAGGTGGGGAGGCGAGGATGAATTTTCTTCTGCTACCTGATAGTTTCTATTTTTTCCAAGTTTCTTTTTTAGTTTGTTTCAGTATGTCATTCATGTTGGAGGCTTTCATCAAATACCTGATGATCCTTGCCAATTATCTGGTTATCCTTACATGTTGGAAGCAGTCACTAAATAACTGAAAATCCTTGATAACTATCTGGTGATCACTGGCTAACCATTCATATTTAAAGGTAAGGTACTAAAAAAGCTGATTCAAAGCATTCTATCTATGAAAAGAGCTTGTTAACTCATGGCCTTTATCTAGAAAGATTGGACAGGTAGCTTAATGCCAGTTACCTACGGGTCTATTCTCTGGGACTGTTCAGTTCTTCCAGTGAAGGATCCTCTAATCTTTTACCTGAGTTAAAATGAGTTTTACACTGGCTGCCAGGGTTCTGGGAGCTGAACAGGGAAATAAGTTGGAGGTTTTACTGTTTAGTGTGCAGACTTTCATGTAATCTGTGTGTTTTCACCCTGGCCTCTCACCCCCATCCTTCACTGTGTCTAAGGATGCCCATGTCTAGAGATTCCTGCTTCAGTTTCTTTGGAGAATAAACCTTTCCCTGGTGGAGGAATAAGTCAGGGGGAAGTATAGCTGGGGGAAGGAAAGTAACCTGGTCGTGTCGGGGACCTTGTTATTAAGTGCTCAATATACAGGTTTTTCAACCAACCCTTCTGTTTTTAGTCCTGCACCTCATTATTGCCATCAATGATCACTCTCATTGCTAAGCAACTCCAGGATTCTGTGTGCCAAACAAAATTTGTGTTCAGTTGGTATCCGTTTCTGAAGACTTTTAGCCTTCTTCATTTCTGGCTTCATATCCTCTGGCATAGGGTTATAGGCACCTCCTAATTTCAAACATTTATGTTTGTTTCTTTTTAGAGATAATTTCTGAGGGGGGGAGACTTTTGCCTTGCCATCTTAAAAATCCTCAAGATATAATTATCACTTTATTTTAAAATGTCTTCATTGTATTAAGCATCAATGCAATGTTGACTAAAAAAATCCACTGTCTGGGACTTCCCTGGTGGTCCAGTGGTAAAGAATCTGCCTTACAATGCAGCGGACGCTGGTTCGATGCCTGGTCAGGGAACTAAGATCCCACATGCTGCAGGGAAACTAAGCCCACGTGCCGCAACTACTGAGCTTGCATGCCTCAAGTAGAGAGCCCGCATGCAGCAAACTACAGAGTCCATGCACTCTGGAACCCATGTGCCACAACGACAGAGCCCACGCACCCTGAAGCCTGTGCGCTACGACTAGAGAAGAGAAAACCCTCATGCCACAACTAGAGAGAAGCCTGCACGCCACAATGAGAGATCCCACACGCCTCAACGAAGATCCTGCATGCCGCAACTAAGACCCAACACAGCCAAAAATAAATAAAATAAATAAATAATAAATAAATCTTTTTTTTTAATGATTTGGCCTCCCAAGTCCTAGTCAGTATTTTTATATTTATTTGTTTGTTTGTTTGTTTATTTATTTTTGACTGCATTGGGTCTTCGTTGCTGCGCACAGGCTTTCTCTAGTTGCAGTGAGCAGGGGCCACTCTTCTTTGCAGTGCGCGGGCCGCTCATTGCGGCAGCTTCTCTTGTTGTGGAGCATGGGCTCTAGGCGCGTGGGCTCAGTAGTTGTGGTTCGCAGGCTCTAGAGCGCAGGCTCGGTAGTTGTGGTGCACTGGCTTAGCTGCTCTGCAGCACGTAGGATCTTCCCAGACCAGGGCTCGAACCCGTGTCCCCTGCATTGGCAGGCATATTCTCAACCACTGTGCCACCAAGGAAGCCCTTTATTGTTCTTTTATCCTGTTCTATAACAGCTTCTTAGAGGACACCAGAATTTAACCAATACAATTGTGACTAAGCATATGAATGAAAACTTTTCAGTTTTAGGAAAAAGAGTCCAATTAATCCTAAGAGGAAGAGAAGTACTGAGTTCAACAGTACAGGAACCCAAGAGGGACTTCCCTCTGGTTCTTTTCAGTAGGACTCCACTCATGACTTCTCTTTTAAAATTGTGTTGAGATTCATCTTTTTAAGAACAATGACATTGTAGAAATTTATTTTTTCTTTCTCAGGTCTTTACAGAGAGGCAGGGATCACAAACCAAATATCAGAAAATCAGCAAGTTTTTTTATGCAATAGGCATGAACAATAACATTCTTGAACATCTGATATCCTATAGCCTCTAACATCCATGTGCATCCAGAAGCCTATGCAAAAACTGATGGAAGCTCTGTTCTGAGCTGATACAGCCAAACTGAAGTATTGGAATGTCAAAGGGCTGAAGATCAACCACAGGCCAAGCCATTAGCTCTGGATCCTCACCATCTGGATGAAGTAAGAGTATGGCAGGCAGCTTGCTGGTTGATCAAATTTTTGTATCACCACATCATCTCTAGGGAATGCTCTAATGCAGGCCAGTAGGATGCCCAGTGACCTTCCTATAAAGCATAAAATGTCTCCCCCAGACCAGATAGTGGCATTTGCTCAGTAGGTAATATCCAAGTTTAGATTTTCTATTAATCACTATGCCTCATAACATGATTAAGAAAAAAGAACATAAACAGATCATAAATTAAAAAGTAGATTTGTGTTATTCAGTGACATAATACTCCACTAGTATAAATATTTCTCAATTCCTTTTCAGAGGTCAGAATGCAGACCAATTTGCTTCTAAAATGTTTTAAACTATATAGACTACTTTGGTTGGATATAGGATTACTTATTATTGCTCCTGTTTTCTAGTTATTAAACCTTCTATAAAATTTATATAGAAAAAAAACACTTTAAAGAAGTTAAACGCTTATATTAGCAAATCTTCTGAATTACCCTGGCTTTCAACTATTATCTATTTGGACTGCAGAATCTCACCACAGATTTAGAACTGTGTGGACAGCATTTCCAAGGATATTTTCAAATGAGTACAGAGACAGTTTAAAATAGGAAACATTTTTAATTGTGCTGGAAAAATATATGGCAAAATGGTACAGTTCTTCACCAAATAGGGCTGCCTGTCAACTCCTTCATAACCTTAATAATAATTCCAGCAACGATGCCAATGGTTAGCAAGACTCCAACTATGACTTCAACCAGGTCCACAATTTCTAACCCATTTATTTTCAACTGCTATCTCTCTCTCCTTACTTTCTAAATGGAATGATCAATCATAACACTAGGGGCTATGGAATTCCGTTTCTATCTTGGTCATGAATGAACTGGGCTTTTGAGAGTTAACAGATTCTCAAATGTACCCTTCCAGTAAACTCTGTTTTTGTGAGTAGCATAGTTGTCACACCAGGTGATTCAGAGGACCCATTACTACAGGGATTACTTATGTCATCTTCAAGCCTAAATGTGAGGGTTTCTTCTACCAGCATTCAGAAGGGTGAGCATCTCAAAACGATGCATAGAACTCACACTAAACTAAAAAAGACATTTAAGAAGGTATCTTCTCGGTCTTCCCTGGTGGCGCAGTGGTTGAGAGTCCACCTGCCGATGCAGGGGACGCCGGTTCGTGCCCCTGTCCGGGAGGATCCCACATGCTGCGGAGCGGCTGGGCCTGTGAGCCATGGCCGCTGAGCCTGTGCGTCCAGAGCCTGTGCTCCGCAACGGGAGAGGCCACAACAGTGAGGGGCCCGCATACAGCAAAAAAAAAAAAAAAAAAGAAGGTATCTTCTCTCTGGCGTACAGAAGCTATGTTCTATGTTCAAGGAAATAAATAGCTGTATTTTTGTGTTTTGGGTTCACATTTCATTAAATACACATGGCTTGAGGAGAGGGGGAGTAGAGGCTGGAATCTGGAATGTAAGAAGGAAAAACACTCAGCCTCAGTGTGATTTCCCAATACTCCTCTGCCTTCATCATTGAGAAGGGCTAAACTAAACTTCATAGCTAAAGAAAACTTACCAAGTTGGCATCTTTCTCTACAGTGAGGGAAGGGAGAGGATGTTTCATTGTAAGATGGTCTCAGTTTGAGAAATGCTATAGGACCACCATGTCTGCTCTGCTTGAACAGAACTAAAATGCTCCTCTCACACAATATTTAAAGTTATGCAGAGTTGCATCTGCAGTGGTTGGTATTACGTATCTCTTAAAGTGTACTTTTAAACAGCCCAAACAAAAAGGTACCAGAAGTACATAAGTTTATCCTAACACTTTTAGTTACTGTAGAGAAAGTACCATATTACAGCCCAATGAGTTTTATTATAGTTACATTTCAGAACACAGAATGATCTATAATAAAACCTTTATTGTCCTAAGTGGGAGATCTCATCTCGCATTAGCATTAATAAAAAGGTTGTACTTGGCAAAGGTGTTTTTTTTTTATTAACCTGTTTGTTGGCTTTTTGTTTCAAGGATGGTACTCCTCTCTGGGAATTACTTCTGGGAAGATAATTATTACACAAATTATAAAAACAAATTCCTATAACAATACTGAAGTGTGTACATCAATTCCAGACTTACCCTTAGGAGCAACTCTGCTAATATACAGCCAACAGCCCACATGTCCACACCTACACCATACATTCTAGCTCCAAATAGTAGCTCAGGGGCCCGATACCACCTGAAGAACAAAAAGAAATACTGTCATTTTAGGATGGAATTAAAGTATTTCTTAGAGAAAATTCCTCAGCAAAACATCATCTACTGATGAAATGCACTTTTATGGATATATTAACTCAAGAAAAATTGGCTATAAAACCAACAAGTTCCATATTACTGCCAGGAAATTACATACACCCTTAGTCCATTCACTCTCCCACTTTGAGATGAGTAACACTTTCTTTCTCCAGGAACCCTCAACACCATCCTTCCTCTCAGCTGATGACCTTATTTCCTACTTCACTGAAATAATGCAAGTAATGAAAAAAATTTCTACAGACTCACCTTCAGTCATTTGTATTCTCACAATCTGCCTTCCCATCCATAACTACAGATGAACTATCCATGATTGTTTTTAAAGTCAATCCCTCAACTTGGGCACTGACACCCCACTCTCCTGCCTATTTTCAAGGATATTGCTCCTCCAATTCTCTCCTCTTTCTCCTACATCAACTTTTTGTTCTTACTAGATTTTTAACATCAATGTCAAACATACCATTATTTTTTCTAGCCTTAAAAAATAAACTAAAATATAAAGAAACAAAAACTTCTTTGGACCCCACTTCCCCTAAGTTACCCCTCATCCTCTGGTTGTCTGTTCTTACTGTCTCCATTTCCTCTTCTCTCATCCTCTTAAACCCGTTTCAGTCAGGCTTTCATCCCACCACTCCACCAAAATTGCTCTTGTCGAGGTTATCTAAATTGTTAATTCTCAGTCCTCACGTTAATATGACCTACTAGTAGCATTTGATTTGCAAGAAGAGAAAGTATGAGAAACGAGTAGATGAAAACCAGTGGCACACAATACTCATGTATGTGGGTCCCTGTTTTCCTCAGTCCCCAGTGTTCCTGAATGATGGGCTTAATCTTTCCAGAAATTACATGAACAACTACTTATATCCCTTACTTTTTACTCAGGGCTCAGGGGACTGACACTCAGTGAGATCTGGAGGAAGGTGACAAAGTAATTTAAAAGGATAGAGAATCTGATGACTTCTCAGATCCTTACAAGAGTCAGAGAAATTAACAAATGTCATCCTGACAAGATAAAATCTACCATCCCTATCTATTTAATGTGATTTTTAGTTTTTATACATAAAAAGTATGAACAGAAAGTGGAAGCAACTAATAATATGCAAAACCCAAATATAAATGCACTGCTTTGTTTAGAGAATTTTCATTCACACTGAATGATATAAAATGTGGAACCAAGACTGACCAATAAAATAAACACAGGCCCCCCAAATCACATGCTTATGTACAAGAATAGGCACTACAGTTCCAACCTACCTAACTAAACTGTATAAGAAGTATAAATTAGTCCCCAAAATAACCTGGTAAGTCTCTGAGGACCGAGTTAAATTCAACTCCGTTTGAAAGAAGGGCTGTATATTTTTTTCACTGTGGTAAGGTATACACAATATAAAAAAAGGCTATATTTTTAATAAAATACCAATAGTAATCCCTGAACTCTGCCAAAATTTCAGAGAAGACAAATGATGCTCATCTGTGTAATCACAATCATTTGTGTATATCCTACACAATATAAGGTTTCAGTTAGTTAAGGAATCCTTACCTGGTTACAACCTGATGTGTATAAGCTCTATTGGGGCTCCCAAATGATTTGGCCAGGCCAAAATCTGCCAGTTTTAGAACTCCATTTTCATCTAGCAACAAGTTGTTTGGTTTTAGGTCCTATATAACAGAGGTTTTAAACAAACAAGTAAGCAGGGTGGAGAAGAATATCACAACGATACATTTAGTTGGCTTAAATTTAAACTTAGCAGAAATGGGGTAACACCCCAAATCTAAACAACCACCAATATTATTTTTATTGACATAAAATCCTACAAAGCAAAATAAGATTGGCCATATTACTTAGTGAGACATTGGGTCAAGGTACTTAATTTCATGAACTTCAATTTACCTACTTCACAGGTTTGCTGTGAGGATTAAATTTAATATTTCCTGTAAAAGCCCTAGTGTAGTGACTGGCTTATAGTAAGCACTCAATAGATAGCTGCTGCTATTTAATTTAGTAACAATATATATGGGGAATTCCCTGGCGGTTCAGAGGTTAGGGACTCTGCACTCTCACTGCTGAGGGCCCGAGTTCAATCCCTGGTTGGGGAACTAAGATCCCACAAGCCACGAGGCCAAAACAAAACAAAAACAAACAAACAAAAAACCCCCCACTATATATGAACTTCAGTAAATAAAAATATTAGGCACTTATAAGGATGAGGAATACAGTCTTCACAATCTATGCTAAAAATATATTAGCAATAACCTAAAAGAGATTCCAAGTGTAAGTATGAGAATTACTAACTATAACTTACTTATTTTTAGCTATTTCATCTAAATAGGGTGCCTAAGAACATCTACCTATCTAAATTATCAGCCTTGTTCTAGTAGCTGAATGCTCCTAACAATGGCTCAGCCATTTCAGAAATTTTATTTCATTATTTCCTAGAATTTTAGAGCTACTAGAAATATTTTTCCAAAGGTATTTTTGCATTGCATAATTTAATCCAGACTCCCACTGTTTTTGGTTTTGTTTATTTTTTTCCCATTACAACAGTACAGCACAAAGAACACTGGACTTCAAGCCAAAATGTCTAGGTTCTAATACTATTGTCAATTTTCAGCTGCTGACCTTGAAAAAAAATACGTAACTTTGGTCAGCAACTTAGCTCTTCAACTATGAAAAACATGAAGGACTAGGTCTCTTCCATTTCTAAGTTTCATATAGTAATTCAGAGTCCTCACAGCACCACGTAGTGGAACTGAAGGGAGCACACAGAGGAAGAAGGTTGGATAAAATGGCCCAGCTCTATTTTGTAACAATTTACATACTCAGACCTTTTGTGTAATAAATTGGCTACATAAAGTCTGACTACAACATGAAGAAGCAACAATATTTGGTTAAATACCTTACCCTATGTAGAATCCAGTGTTGATGTAAATATTCTAATCCTTGAAGAGTCATCAACATGTAGGCTTTGATGTGTGATGGTGTCAGCACAAGACTGTTATCTTTTATTATAACCTGTAAAGCAGGCATACAATATACAGGTAAGCTTTATTATTCCAAATGGACTCTACTATATAAAATCATTTACAGACATAAAGTGGATTTATTCATAGAGGAGAATCTCAAGAGAGCTTGCCTAACTCTCCTTAGGAAGTACTGTCAGAACCTCCAATTATATGGTTAGGGAAAGTATCTTTGGTTTGGAAAGAAAGCAGTGCTTTATGTCCTACTGCTTTGTTTTTAGGCATCCATGTAGCAAACATCTGTTGTTTTCACTTGCCCCCAGATACATAGCCCCTTCTGACAAGAGCATTCAACACTCCATCTGTTTCCAGCTTAGTCCACGTGGTTAAAACAGGACTGTGCACTACCTGTAGACTTCAGAAGTAGACACAACGACCCAGGCATGGTCAGTCACCACACTGCAGCCTGCTTTCCAGACTAGCTCAGGGATGGATATGTGAGCCAAGCCAAGGCAAATATTGGTGCTAGAATCAAAGGGAACACAGCACTTTCTTTCCTCAGGGATTATTAAACTCTAAGGACAGAAGCCTGCAAGTGCCTGAGCCACTATATTGAGAAATTCTACCCATGAACAAGGCAACAGAGAGAAAACACTGAGTTAAAGTGAAAGACTGTGTTACATTAGCATTATTTGTGAACTATGCCTCAAGTCAGTCAGTTTATTCCTAGACTTTTCGTTATATGAGATAAAAATTCACATTTTCTTTTTTTTAAAATAGGTAAAATATACGCTTTTAATCTCACAGTTCTATGAATTTCAACAAACACATCCAGTTGTGTAACCACTACCATAATCAAGACATAGTTTCATAACCCCCTAAACTCTCCCCAGGCCACTCTCTACTCAATCCTCCCCTCGATTCCCTACCCAGGCAACCACTGATCTGATTTCTGTTCCTTTAATTTTGCCTTTTCCAAAAAAATCATACATGGAATCATATAATATCAATAGCTTTTTTTTTTTTCGCGGTACGCGGGCCTCTCACTGTTGTGGCCTCTCCCGTTGCGGAGCACAGGCTCTGGACACACAGGCTCAGCGGCCATGGCTCACGGGCCCAGCCGCTCCGCGGCATGCGGGATCCTCCCGGACTGGGGCACGAACCTGTGTTCCCTGCATCGGCAGGCGGACTCTCAACCACTGCGCCACCAGGGAAGCCCAATATCAATAGCTTTTTGAGCCTGGCTTCTTTTGTTTAGTATAATGTATTTGAGATTCACCTATACTGTTGCATATGTTAGTAGTTTGTTTCTTTTTATTCTCAAATAGTATTCCACTTTATGATTACACATTTACTTAATGAAAGCTATTTGGGTTGTTTCCAGTTTGGGTAGTGACAAATAAAGCTAAACATCTGTGTAGTCATATGTTTTTGTTTCTCTTGGATAAATAAATACGTAGAGGCAGTATTTACTAGATTGTACCTTAAGTGTATATTTAATTGTATAAGAAACTGCCTAATTGTTTTCCAAAGTGGCTGCATCACTTTGCATTCTCATCAGCAGTGTATGAGAATTCCACTTGTTCCACATCCTTGGAATGTCCATTACTGAGATGCAATTAATATTAATGAAAAGTGTAAAATTTTATTTTTCTCAAAAAGAAACCTGGCTTTCAAAAGGATATTCTGTGATAATATCACAAAGAAGTTCCAAATCCTCCGAAGCCAAACACTCATTTTTCGAAAAAGGAATGTCAATAAGGTATTGGGAACTTGGTAGACACAATGCTATTGAAATCCAACTCTTGTATTTAATCCTGGGAATATGGCTAAATGATTCAGAAGATCTTTGACTTGAGAACACATCTAGATTTCAACAAAATTAAGCATTCTTTTGACTGCCAGTATCTTCAAAGGTAGAAAATAAATATTTAGATTCTCTTTTGATAAATAGAGAAAAAAAATTCCTCCAGGAATTTTAATCTTACCTCTAGGTCAGTTTCCATAAAATCAAAGACAAGGCTAATATTAGATTTATGTCCAAAAGCATCAAGGAGCTGCAAAGCAAAATTTTAAAAAAATCAACATGTGATTCTCTATTAACCACTTGACAGTATTAAAGTAATTTTTAAAAACTTAAACCAGCATTTGGATTGTTGATAATTCTCTGTAAAGTTTAAATAATTTTATTAAATTTAATATTTATCTTTTTTTTGGCTAGGAATTAGTACTTTGAAGCACAGGATACTAAACCTTACTATTAAAAACAAAATCACTAAATACTTAACCTCTCCCTCCAAATTTTGGAGTTATAATAAAGATATGAATTAATGAAAACCTCATTTAAGTCTCCAATTTAGAAAAATTCCCAAACTTGGTACTTAAGAACATCCTACAAATAGCATTAGCAGCTATCATTCATTGAATGAGCGTGTTCTCTATGCCAGGCACTATCCCAGGTACTTTATGTGTATTCAGTCTCATAACAACGCTATGAGGTAGGGACTATGGCACAGAGTTCAAGGGAACTTGCTAAAGGTCTTACACATGCTAGAGCTCTCTAGGCTTCAAAATGATCTCTGAGAAAATCAGCCTGTACGCCAATATTTAATTTATTTCATCAGTTGTATAGTTTTTAAGACACTGCCTACAAGAACAATTAGGATAGAAAATAAATTTCAGCCTTTTTGCAAGGCTCATCTAGAACAACTTATCTTGCTGAGCCTTCAATCAACATCTACCACATTCAGGAAAGGCAGGGTCCCAAATCCCAGAAACAACTTAGATCATACTCACACCAATTATATTTGGATGACTTAGCTCCTGTAATAATTTTATCTCTCTTAAAGCTGTTCTATTTATACCTACACAAAAAGGCAAAGAAAAAAGTGAAAATTCTGAAATCTCAAACCTTCTTGTAAACGTATTTTTTGGGAAAGGTCAGTCTGATGAAATAGCGATGACTATTCCTCAGGAAAAAAATAACAATTTTTATGACATATCTGTTTCCATTTTATATTGCTTTATTTTTAAAATAGCTTAGCACAGACTATGATAAATGGTGAAAAAAGTATTCACTTTATCTGTGAGATATCAGATCTGAAGACTGCTGGAACAACATGTACACAAGTGTGTAGCATATAGGTGAGAAGTTAATGGCTCCCTTCTCTTGCCTTATGAATATCAGTGGCAGATTCTTTAAGCTAACAGCAAACTAGTGATTAGATACCATTTTGCCCAATGTGAAGGATGGAACTCAACATTTAAAATAAAATCTGGTGCTAGTTATTACAGAGATGATGGATCCTCTACATAGGAACTATTTCTTGATGACTAAATAGGACTTAGCACTCTAGCAAATAAGGCTTTGGAAGAAGGGGTAAAAAAAACTTTCCCCTCCATACATTTATTCTATAGTAAGCTTTGTATACTTCCATGAATCCTGAATTTTCAAAGTAATCAGAAGCTCAGAAGAAGAAACAATGGCTTGTAACAACACCTAAAGCAGTAACGAAGACAGGAAGACAAGTCACTAATAACCTTGCCGTCTTCCATCTACTTAGGTGACTTGAATATTCTTCTGAACACCCAAGTGGCGAAAATCACAAATATCCTATCTCTATCCTGAGTCTATCTTTACTCTTCTGGGACCCTGCAATAACTCTATCCAGAACCACTGTTAACTTTAATTAATACTTTGTTCTCTTCCTCACTGAGAATAAGAACCTTTCCTGTTCTGTCAGATTACATGAAATAAGTTACTCACCATCTTTAGCTTCTGATCTATGTCCAAGTTTGATCTGGCAGAGGAAAAAACAAACACATTAGAAATATGTTAAATTATTTAGACCAATGCATATATATAAACACTTCAAGGACTTTGCTGGTGGCGCAGTGCTTAAGAATCCACCTGCCAATGCAGGGTACATGGGTTTGAGCCCTGCTTCAGGAAGATCCCACATGCCGTGGAGCAACTAAGCCCGTGTGCCAGAACTATTGAGCCTGCGCTCTAGAGCCTGCGAACCACAACTACTGAGCCCGAGTGCCACAACTACTGAAGCCCGCACACCTAGAGCCCGTGCTCCGCGACAAAAGAAGCCACCGCAATGAGAAGCCCACGTACCACAACAAAGAGTAGCCCCCGCTTGCCACAACTAGAGAAAGCCCCCCGCGCAGCAACAAAGACCCAAAGCAGCCAAAAATAAATTAAAATTTTTAAAAATTCTTAAAAAAAAACTTATAGCAAAAATATGTAGCAACTCATATGTAGCTAGTATTAGTAGGCAAGAAGGGAGTGGGAATCATGAATCAGAAAGGCAAAATTAACAACAGAAGAAAGGATCAAGTACCTATCATTCCTTTCCCCTTAAGTTTTGAATTACACATCTTTGTTAGATTAAATGAGGAACAAATAATTAAACACATAGAGGCTAATAAACAAAAGGAGCACTTCAAGTTAGACTACTTCGGAGGAAATGCGTAACACATAAAATAAGATGCTTAATGTGTCCAACAATATGCTCCCAGGGACCACATTTTCCAAAAAGAAAAATTACAAATTGCGACGGATATAGAAAATGGTTAAACTGTTGTTACTGTGAATAAGCACATCAAACTGCATTAACAGGTTCAGTCTTACACAAAACCAAGTACCAGGTTAAAGAACAAGAGCTAACTACTTTATACAATGACAATGTAACCAAGAATACAAAAAAAAAAATCCTACTCCAGAAAATCAACTATTCTACTTTAAAAAATATCCCCCACCTATATAATACAAATAGAACTTTTAATTTAAAGGTAGGCTATTTATTATACCACCAAAAAATATAAGGCACTTAGGAATAATGCCAACAAGAGATGTATGAAGCTTTCCATGAACACTATAAAGCACTCTTAAAATATGCTTAAGAAATGAGATCAGAATAAATATAGATAGCATGTTCATGGATAGGAAGACTCAATATCATAAATACGTCAAATATGTCAATTCTCTTTAATGGAACTAAATGTAAAGTACAAGAGCATTTTTCAAGGACACTGACAAATGGATTCTAAACTTTACATGGAAAAGTAAAGAGCTAAGAACAGATCATTTAAAACATGATTACATTTTCTAAACATAATAAAAAATAGACTAGTTTCATGAAGCCATCTACGTCATCACCCAGATTCAATAATTACCAATATTTTGCCATACTTACTTCATTCATTCATCCTCCCCTTTTTCTTGGCTACAATATACACTTTTTCGAGTCCCAGACTTCATGTTATTTCATCCCTATATACTTTAAGTAGGCACCTCTAAAATGTGGACATTTTCTTACATAACTATAATGCCATTCTCATACCTAACAAAATTAATAATAATGCCAGAGTAGCATATAATAACTAGTTCATATTCAAATTCTCCTGATCTGTTTCAAATTTCTCAACTGACCCATAGAGTAAGCCAAGATAATTTTGAAGAAAAATAGCTATATGGGACTTACCAGACTTCAAGACTTTATAAGGCAATAGTAATTATAGGCTTATTGTATTGGAGCAGGGATGGGGGGAAAAAAAAGTCAACCAGTAAAAAAGAATAGTGTGCCCAGAAACAGATCCAAATAGAAACTGGAACTTGGCATTACAACTCACCAGGAAAAGGACATACTATCAATAGTGTTGAGAGAGCTGGGGAAAAAATACTGGATCCCCATACTACACAACAAAGAAAATTTAATTCCAAATGGAATGAAGACCTAAATGTGAAAAGTAATACTTTAAAATTTTTAGACGAAAATATAGTAGAATTCTTTATAACCTGGAGGTAAGGAAGCACACAAAAAAGGGAACCAATAAAGGAAAAACATGGACAAATTTAACCAGATTAAAATTTTAAATATCTGTGCCTCAAAACATACCATAAATCAACTAAAAGTCCAGCCAAAGACTGGGAGATGATGATGGAAAAAATTTTTACATACTGAAGTATGGAGAAGTCATTCTGGCTTATACATGATTTAACAAACTTTTTGCTAACTAGAACAGCCTGTTTTGTGGTCTATCAAACACACATTGTACATCTACTTTTACCCATTGAAAAAAAAAAGGGTGCATTGTCCCCGAAGTAAAGAATGTCCATTTTGAAGATAGGGATAAATGCCTCCCTTCCAGGGACTTCAGTAGTAGTACTCCTTTGATGATAAGGCTCCCTTCCCGGGAGCCATGGCCATACTGACTCACTGTGTACTCGGTGACCTGTCTTCGGCTGATGTGTCTTTTTTTTTCTTTTTTTGAAACTTTGAAGGAATGTACGCCTGTCATGCTTGATGTTTTCTGTTCTGACAAGATATAAATTATGCTGAAAACCATACCTCTTCAGAACAGTTCCTCAGAGCTATCTGACAGACTGTCTTCTGGGCTATAATCCTCAGTTTGGCTTGAATAATACTCTTCTATTCTTATTACAGATTGGTAATTTATTGTTTACAGCAACGAGGGTATCTCCAGTGCAAATTTCTGATAAAGGATCGGTATCCAGAATATATAAGAAATTCCCCACCAAATCAACAGGAAAGAAAAAAATGTAAGCAACCTAACAGAAAAAGTCTAAAAAGCCAATAAATCTAGGAAAAGATGATCAACCTCACTGGTAATCAGAGAAGTATTAATTGAAAAAACAACCATATACCATTTTCGATCCATCTAATTGACAACTGTTATAAAGTCTGACAATACAAAGCTGGTGAGAATGTGGTGGGAGGTTAAACTGATCCCACCATTTTGGAGAGCAATTTGACAACATATGGTGACATTGCTGCGTATTCTCTATGCAGCAACAATTCATAATTGGTTTCAACTAAAGATACATTCTCTAGAGAAACTCACATATGTATAAGAATGTCTGTAGAAGGGCTGTATAAAAGTAAAACATTTAAAAAAAACCAGCTTAAATGTTTATCAACAAGAGTTTGGATAGACCAATTCTAGTGTAGCCACATAACTGAATCTAATCACTGATGAGCATGAATAAACCAGATCCACATGTATCCATCTGGAAGATTCCAGAAATAATACTGATTCAGAAAAACAAGTTGCAGAAGAATATTGCGTGCGCACGTGCCTGTGTGTGTGTGTGTGTGTGTGTGTGTGTGTGTGTAGGGAGAGAAAGAGTTTAGAAGTATGCAACACTATATATTGTTGAGCTACATAAAACAAATACTGAAAAATGAAAAAGGCTCCAAAAGGCTACCATAGGGGACTGGTTAAATAAATTGGGAAACATAAATTCAATACAATTGTTTAAAAAGGATAAGGTAGATTAATGATGTCTTAAAAGTCCGAAATACAATAGGCAAAAGAATACAGAATACATAGCTTATTATCCCTTTTTTTGTAAAATTAAACATGTCAGTAAATGAGTGGGAGTAGAAATTGAGTGTTGGGAAAGGAAGGTGCACAAGCACCACATCTCCAATGTTTACAGTAGGAAGTATAGAAAATGTCTAAAACTAGGGAAAGAGACCACTCAAGAAATAATGATAAGCATACTATCTAAAGAAATGGGTGTAAATAGCAGAGAAAACAGTTTTGGAGTTGAAAGTGATTGCTCCAAGGAGTGAAAACCAGGGGTAGAGGAGAAAGGCATGCTTGGTCTAGTAACTGACTTTTTTTAAAAAAATATTTTGAGAAATAACTGGTTTAGTACAAGGAGAAATATTTCTGCTTTTTTTTTTTGAGGTACAGTTTATGTATACTATTATATAAGTTTCATATGTATAACATAACGATTCACAATTTTCAAAGGTTATATATTCATTTATATAACTGTTATATTCCATAAAACCACAAAGATGTACTGTTTGAAATAAAAATTAAATGTAAAAGAATATTCCATTATGAGTCACTTTCAAGGGGTACAAGTCTATCACTGAGAAATAGGATGAATTCTAAATCCTAGTTTATGATAAAAGTAAGCAAACAAGAAAACCCACTAGGATTTTCAGAAAACCACAGAATTCAATGAGATTATACCAATTTGAAGAGACTATATCAGTCAAGTCAATACATTTTTAATGAGTGTCTGCAAATGTACCAGACACAGTCCTAAATATAATTCAAGTGGTAGTAAACAGAAAATAAACTCATAGGTAAAAGACTTTAGATTTTGATAAACGCTATGAAATAATAATAGAGAAATATGCAAAGAACACCAGGTAAGAAGGGAGGCACACCTGTTTTAGCTAGAATGACCAGCAAAGGTGTGTATATACAGGAGATATTTGACTGAGATCTAAATGATAAGGAATCAGTCATGATTCCTGATTACATGATTACTCAAGTTTTAGAGTAAAAATATACTAACCAGAAGGCAGAGCAGCAAATGCAGTGATACCGGGACTGGGATGAATTTAATGTATTCAAGGGACAGAAAGGTCAGTATGGCTAGAATAAAGTGAACCAGGGGTAGAATCAGAAAAATAACTTTAGAAAGAATTAACAAAGTTAAGGGTTTCACAAGGGATTAGCTATGGCATTGGTTTATAGAACATAAACTAGAAAAGGAGATGAGACACGTCAGAAAAAGTAAAAAAGATAACAATGGCAGGAATGATTGTGGAAAGGAAGAGTGGGAAGCAGGTGTTAAGAGTATGAGAGGGATATGCTTCAAAGGAATTAGGGATTTTCAAGGAGAAAGATTCAAAGCAGCAACAGGAATAATAAGGAAGGTGGTTACCTAAGCCACCAACAGGCCTGAGGTGTGAAGAAACCAGCTTCTCTTGAGAAGGTTATTGATTTCCGTAGTATGGGAAAAGGCAATCAACCTGGGAGCAGGACACCTGGATCTAAAACCTGGCTCTAGCAATTACTATCTGTGACATCTTGATGAGTCACCTAATCTCTCTTAGCTTCAGCCACCTCAAGTGTAAAATAGAGATACGCTACCTACTTCATGGGCTCTTATGAGGATTAAATGAAAAAACGAGGGTGAAAGTATATAGAGAGTTAACTAAATACGACCGAAGTTTCTTGAATGAATGCGAGTAAAAAAGCTACTGAAACCATTAAAAAAAAACCCGCACCACAGCAATGTCATTAATGCTGGCGAAAGCCTTTCATGGTAAAACTGTACTCAGGAAATACAGATATACAAAGTGGATGCAGGTGAGGCAGAAACAGGGACCTGGAAAGGTCAGGTGTTCTGAGGACCCAAGAGACGAGCAGTATTTGTCCCCTTTTCCAACGTCTGCGTTTATAGAACAAACATAACACACAGCTTCCTCTTCATTTCAATTTCAATGAATGCAACAAAACACAAGTTCAACCCGAGTTCCACGTTGGAACACAAGACACTAAGAAATTCTATTTTCTTTGAAAATGACCTAAGTAACTCCTCACTAGCAGAAAACGGTCAAGAGAAGTAAAACGGCCAGACACCGGCTCCCATATACACACATCTTCAAGGAGACTCAAGGAAAAACAAACTGCAACTCACTTTCTTAATGGCGACAATTTGGTTGGTGTTCTTGTCTCTGGCCTTGTAAACCGTGGCAAACTAGAGAGAAGAAGAGGAATAAAGTTAAGTTGGTGAGAATATTTTTGGTTTGTGTTTGCCTTTTTACTTTATTAGATTCGGGGAAGCAAGGAACCCAGGATTCTTGGAAAAAACTCGCGGCGGCTTGAAACGTGGTGGGGCCGTCCACGTCTCGTTCCAGTCTATTCTTCGGAGAAGGCCGCTCAAGGTCTCATGTCCAGGGTGGACAGAGGGGCCGCAGGAGGGGTGTGGGCAGCCTCCCGCAAGCAGAACGAGTAGCGTGGCCTGTCCGCTGGCTTCCACGAGAAAACCCGCGACGGTGTGAGGCGGACCGGCGTTCCCCGCTCAGGGCCCTCCGAGCCCCGCCCGAGAATCTCACCTGTCCCTCGCCGAGGAAGTCCAGTTTTTCATAACGCTTTGCTCGCGACTTCACGTCCACAGCCATCTGTCACGCAGAGCTCGACTCCAACTGAAACGGGAGAGCTCCCAAGACAGCGAGAATTTAAAGCACCTTAAAGCCTCCCACAGCCACTTCCGCCCACTGAGTGCCGATGCTTCATTAGCTCCGCCCCCACTTCCGGGGTGGGCGGGGATGCTGTTAAGTAGGTCCGGCCAGAGCCCGCCCTAAGGGAGCGGAAAGAGGCAGAGCTGGAGGGCTCTTCTGCGTCGCACCCCGCCCTACCACGTGACCGCAGATTGTACCGGAAGCGGGGTGCTCTCGGTGGTGGCTGTGTCACCCTGTTACCGTTTTAACATAGACACTTTCTTCACTACCGAAGACGGATCAGCGCTCTGATACGACGCTCTGTGTTCAGGATTTAATAGGTGTGTATGAGTGCGGAAGGCTCGGCCTTGTCTCTGATCTCGCTCTCTAGTTTTTGCTCAAGGGTGTCCTGTCACCATGGTTACTGTGGACGCCTAAGCCGACAATTTCGGGTTACTTAAGCGAGTGCCCAGTTCTTAAGGGCTGATCAAGAGGCATTCTTAGTCCTTTATGAAGAAGCACGTCTAGGCAAAGAAGTTCCAAGTCAACTGAACAATTTTGTGCTGTGGAACAGACTTCTGGCCATCAGTTTTCTACCCTGTAAGGTGGAACTTGTAGACTACATCATAGGTGGTTGCGAGGATTAAATGAAACTTGCACAAAGTTTAGACATAGCGCTCAATGGTTAACTGTGATCAGTACCCAACTTTGATTCTCATGTTTTCATACAAATCATTTATTCAACGAATATATATTGAATGCTTACTATATGCCAGGCTCTGTTGCAGACTCTGAGAAATCAGCAGGGGAAAAACAAATATCAGTGCCTTCCAATGGGAGGAGATAATTAAAATACGCTATGATACATAGTGATAAGTGCTACAGAGATAATAAAGCTGGGAAAGGGGATAGATAGTAGGGTTTGTGATTTTAAATAGGGTGTTACCAGAAAGACATTACTGAAAAGCCACTGCAGAGTTTTGAGCAGACAAGTGATATCGGACTTAATGTTTTAAAACTCGCCCTTTGACTGTTGTGAGAGATTACACTGTAAACTTAGAGGGGCAAGGAAAACCAAGAAGGCCAGTTAAAGAATTATTGCAGGAATCCAGATGGTTGTATTGAGGGTACCAGTTTGGCTTCTAGCCAATACGACTTGCTGACAGACTGGACAAGGGTTGTGGGGGAAGAAAAGGATAATTCTAAGGTTTTGAGCTGGAGCATTTGATGCTTCTAAGAGTTGAGAATCCTGATTTTCAGAGTTAGGTTGAAGAAGGCAGAATACAAAAACTCCTAACTTACTCAAGGTAATACAGTGTAAAGGCTGAGTCCTTACTCTGGATCTAGGCTACCTGCATATGAATACTGGCCCCACCACTATTCATTTACTAGGTTTATGATTTGGGCAAATTATTTAACCTTTCTGTTGCTAGTTTCTTCTGTAATAGGACCTACTCACTGGGTTGCTGTAAGGCTTAAATGACTGCACACGTCAGAAACCCTTAGGATACTGTCTGACAGTGTGCAGTTTATGTTAGCCATCACATAACTATTACTGGTCACATTCCAGCTCTTTGTCACTACTTGGGTCTTTATTGAGCACTGATATATTCATTAAGCAAAATTCTCCTACGTTGCAGAAAACATACCATCTCTACCACTTATATCTCTGAATTGTAGCAAGTCATACCTAGTGACATATGGTGTCACGTGACTTAGGTATTCGTTCCTTCTAAAAGGCATCACTGTTAACAGTAATCTAACCTCACTTGTAGTAGAAACAAGCTAAATAGTGAGCTAAATTTGAGGCTTGAGGTTCCCAAGTGTGCCATGGCATATGAATTGATAATCACATTATACCATGCTGCTGACAAGTAAATTCCTATATTGGGACATTTTAAATAGGGTAACAAAGGCAATGTTTAAGTGATATTCTGGGTTCATTAGGGCACTGTATAAATATAAAATACCATTCAGCATCTGTATAGCATTTTACAGTTAAGAAAGTGCTTTCACACACCAGTAGTAGCCAGCTTCCAAGATGGCCCTAATGATTCTTGCCTTCTGGTATTAATGCACTTGTGTAGTTTACTCACACAATGAAACAGGCTGTTCTGTGTGACTAATAGAGTATTGCAGAAATGAATGTGTATAACTTGAGTCTAGATCATAAAGAGGTACTGCTGCTTCTGCCTGTACACTTGGATTATTTGCTCTGGAGGAATTCAGCCATCATGTCATGGATTCATTCAGGCAGCCCTGTGGAGAAGCCTAGGTGGAGGGGAACTGAGGCCTCCTGCCAACAGCCAGCATCAACCTGCCAGCTGTGTGAGTGAGCTATCTTGGAGATGGATGGTCCAGCCCTAGTGAAACCTTCAGATAACTGCAGCCCCAGGTGGCATTGATTGCAACCTCATGAGAAACACTGAGCAGAACTGCCCTGCCAAGCTGCCCCAGAATTCCTGACCCAGAGAAACCATGAGCTATTAAGTGAGTGTTGTTTTCAGCCACTAAATTTGGGGGTGATTTGTTACAACGTAGTGGACAATACACTAATTTGATCCTGCCTATCACATTGTATAGTACTGGAGAAAAAACTGCAAGTTGGACAAACTGAGCGATTTGCTAACGGTTACAGATACTTAACTGTTTAACTCCTAAATGAAAACACAAGCTATTTACTCTAAGTCAAGCCCAAATTCTTTCTATGACACCATCCTCCTTGGGAGCTCATCCTATGACAGCAATTCCCACGAACATCCTTTTGCCATACCTCTAGTCATAAATTCTGTAAAAGTGATATATTTTTTCATTGGAACTTTCATGGCAGCAGCTGTAGTAAAGGTGGTCCTCAGACGGTACCAGTATTGGGGTTTCTAACTGCTGGCCCACGGCATTACTCAAGCCACTCTTCATTTCCTGCACCTACTCTGAGAGCAAAAAAATTGCCTTGGGCTTCCTTTTACTGAAATGAGAACGCTAAGGAGAAAAAAGAGAATAGTGCTAGTTTTTAAGAAATTTTTCCAAGTATATTTTTGAAATAATAAAAAAGAAATCATGAGTCATGTATTTCTCATAAGTTACCAGAATAGCTCATTGCTAGCACCAAACTCCTATTTCACATTCAAGTTGGGCAACATTTATACTAGGCCACAATACAGAATTTACACGAAAAGCAGATCAACTCTGAAATAGTAAAAAAGAAAAAAAATATAAAGATTAATCCATACGCAACTGGGCAAATACAAAAACGTACTCAACAATTCTACTGTGTCTATTACTCATGAGTTACCCTTACTATTAGGGATGACTTCTTTAACGCATATTCTAGAAATCATTAAAGGTATAGAAGAGAATTTATTTCACTTTGTGAGGCTTTACTTTCACAATCATACATACCCTTGGCACAGGAAGAGCCTATTAAAATTCTGTAAATTGCCTTAATAAGGTGAATAGGTTGATTTTATGAGGCTTTCGGACAATGAAGTTTGAGAAGGTTTATGACTGTCAGGATTTGTACACATGATCACAATCAAAACAGTAAAATAAACCAAAGAATAAGACTTTCTTAACACCCCTAAAAACATAATAACTTAAAATTTCTGGTCAAATGTTATTCCTATGCTATATTCATTTTGATCTCTTATTTTCCATTTGATACTCTGACATTTTTTTCTGAACACAGGTTACATAATCTTTTGTGTTAACTCCCTAGTCTTAATACCACAAAGGCATCTGTTTTACCATGGCTGTATTTTTATTATTTAGAGTACGATATGCTTATTGAGCCAGTTATTCTCCAGTAACTTTGTGAATGCAAAAACACTGAGAGAATTAAGAACAAATAATGGAGTCATTATTTCACTGATCCTTATCCAATTCCAGGAAAATTACTTCCAGAAAGCTGCAATTCTGCCGGATATATTCTTTCCATGTTTAAACAGAAACTGAAAGAGAAGTGAAATTATGGTAAACCTATGATTGTTCACTAGACATTGTGTACTTTTAATAGTTCAACACTGTAATGCTTGATAATTTTATTATCTGAGTAAATTAATAGGCTAACATTTAAAAATGTATACTTTAATAAGTATAAAGTATATAAACAATCAGGTAAGCTTCTGGAGAAGCTGACCAAGATACATAAATTAGGAGATACAAGTGTCCTAAATTTTCTATACTTCTTTTTTTTTTTTTTTAACAGAAATTTTATTAAAGTTGTTTAATGTACAATTTCTCATTTGTCATTCTGGAAGTCCTTCATTGTAAAGACTCTTCTTTGTCTGATTAAACAAACAGCAGCCACATTGTCAGTGATTATTCTGGACCTCCACGCTGAAAAGGAAGTAATAAAGCAATAAGATTAGGTGTTTCATTTACAAAGAAATGTTTTCATGGCCACTATATAAATTTGAAACATTTTAATCAAATGATCTTTAGGTTTTAAAAACAATTTCAGATTTTTCATAGCTTTGGGGCACTCCTATCAATGTTATAAAGAATTTCACATCTGAAGAGGACTCAAGGTTGACGTAGATCAATGGTCCTCAAATTTCTTGGTCCTTTACACTCTAAAAAATCAATGAGGGGGCTTCCCTGGAGGCGCAGTGGTTAAGAATCTGCCTGCCGATGCAGGGAACACAGGTTCGAGCCCTGGTCCAGGAAGATCACACATGCCGCAAAGCAACTAAGCCCATGCACCACGACTGCCCAGCCTGTGCTCTAGAGCCCGCAAGCCACAACTACAGAGTCCTGCGCAACTAGAGCCCGTGCTCCGCAACAAGAGAAGCCACCGCAATGAGAAGCCCACGCACTGCAACGAAGAGTAGCCCCCGCTTGCCGCAACTAGAGAAAGCCCACGCACAGCAACGAAGACCCAACGCGGCGAAAAGTAAATTAATTTTAAAAAAATTAATGAGGACCCTAAAGAGCTCTTTTCCATGGGGTATATATATTTTGCTATTTACCATACTATACTTCTACACATATATTCCTTCATGCACATTTACTGAGGGCTCCAACATCGTTTATTTCTCATAGTCCAGGCCTACATGACCATCCCTGTCTTAGCTATGGACACACCTTGACGAGACAATGGGAAGAACATGGAAATCAGCAATATGAAACTCCAAAGCCAATAACGTTGAGGTGTTTTCCACAGTATTGGGATAAAGAGCAACAACGTACTTGGATAAATTCAATTTCTTCTTGAGATACAAGTTTCCTTCTGTACTTCTGAGGTAAAGTTTTTATTAACTCTGCAGTGTCTGGTGGACCCGGATGCATCAGCCAGTCTGGCGATTTACTTCCCTTAGAATGCTGTGAACTTGAAGAAGAGTGAGACGGTAGTCCTGCTGATCTCAGAACTTCTGACACTGAAATTAAAAAAAAAAAAAAATAGAGGAATTGTTCAGTGTCTTAAAATACTATTTTGAATTATCTATCATTAAATAATCAAGTTATTCTTTTTTTTTTTTTTTTTTTTGCGGTACGCGGGCCTTTCACTGTTGTGGTCTCTCCTGTTGCGGAGCACAGGCTCCGGATGCGCAGGCTCAGCGGCCATGGCTCACGGGCCCAGCCGCTCCACGGCATGTGGGATATTCCCGGACCGGGGCAGGAACCCGCGTCCCCCGTATCCGCAGGCGGACCCCCAACCACTGCGCCACCAGGGAAGCCCTCAAGTTATTCTTAAAATGATAAGTATTACAATCCAAGAGATAAGTATTACAGAGTAACTTCGTTGGGTAGCTATATATAGTTTCATAAAGTTCTTTTTAAAGCAAATGAGGTCGTTTTAAGTGAATGAATTACTAAATTGAAGAGTTAAGTTCATAAAATAATGAAATTTCTAGGTAGTGGAGTTCAACCCGTATGGATAACTTACATTACTTAAATTGTGTCATATGGTAGAGATTACAGGTAATACCATACAATGGAGAATAAGAAAGTTGGTAAATGCAGGTGAGATTTGTTTTCTCCATACTTGTCACCTATATCTTAATTTTTCAAGAGTTACAATAAGTTAAAAATATCCATACAAAATTTGTTAAAATTCTCCCTGAATTAAAGGCCAAGTATCTTATAATTAAAGACAGCTGACAGAGCAGTAAGAGAAAAACAGAACTTGTTCAGAATCTTCAGTTACTGTAATAGGCAATGATTGTTGAGTTCTAAGGCAATCCAAGAAATATTTACTGCCTCGATGAACAGATAAATCAGTGAATGAAAGAAAAGGTTAGCTGGGAGAGAAATATAGGAATGGTGGTTATTCATCATAATCTCTGCAAATATAAGTATGGGACATTCTTCTGAAGGACAGAAGGTGGAACAAAAATTCCCATACATAAACACAGTATCATTAAAAATTCAGAAATACCTACTGTCAAGTTACTACTTTTTTACAAGGAGGTAATAGAAAGTTAGTTAATGCAACCTAACATACCATTGTGATCTAAGCTACCATTGTCTACCGGATTCTAAAATGAGAAGTATTGTGTATAATAGAATATTCATGTATAAATCTGCATGTACATATCTTTTTAGTATAAAAAAACTACAGCTTACCATTGGGTTTAGGATTGTCTCTTCTGTCAGGGAACCTTATTAATGGAGTATGTGGCTTGACTACCTAAAGGAAAAATAAAATGCATGAAAAAGAAATGAAGCACTAAAATAACCTCATTTACTACACAAGAAATAATCTAATGAACCTCACAAGCAGATGCCTTTGTTAAAATAAAATAACTTAGTACCTGACAGCAACTTTATATTTTACTATTTTAAATTTTACTCTTTCCCAACAAGGATAGCTAGTCTATGAACTATTATCTGATATTCATAAGAACTTTGTACTTTATACATCACAAGATATTTTACTGTACTGCCTACTGACCTCAAAACAACCCTATAAGGTGATAAGGATTTTATGTTGCATGATTTCTAAATCACCCTGATGATTGGTAAGAATTGGAAGTTTCCTGACTTGTATTGAGTGTTGTTTCCCTACTATGTTAACACCTAGTGGTTTAGATAGAATAGGATAAAAAGCATATTGAAAATTAGGTAATCAAAAAAATACTTTTTCTGACTACAAAAGTAACCCATGTTCTGTGTAAAAAATTTGGAAAAAACACAGAAAAGCACAAAGAAGAAAACACCATCTATAAGCCAAAACCCACATAAAATAGATTTAAACATTTGATAGCCCTTGACTTCAGCCTTTTTCCTATACCCATAGAAATGCATGTATTTAGAACACTGTTTTTAATAAGATATTTGAAGAGTATTAATGTTTTATCCCTAAAATTCCAGTTAATGCTACAGAGGAACTTAAGCAGAACTTTCAGTATGAAATCTTCTGAATATATATAAAATGCTGAGACTCTAATAAACAGAGCACTATTTTTTACTAACGTAATCTGTAAGTTGCTGTGTAACTAGTGAGACAGGTGTGTGTTTATCTGCAATATATTTGTATATATGTACTACACATTACACATTTTATATGAGTACAGAAGCAAATAGGCTTGTAGGGATGGGTCTGAAAACTAACCACCATAATTCTGCTGCTGTGAGAAAATGCTGGAAGATAGTTGTCTCCCTAAGCATTAAAGCATGTTCACATCTTTCGTGTTAAAAAACAAACCTTCTCACTCCATGTAGTACCTGTTTCTTTTCATAGCCAGGCTTCTTGAAAGAGTGTTCTTTCCTTCCTATAGTCCTAAACTTTTCAAGGATAAACTTCAAACTCGCATTTGGCACACACAGGCCCATCATGATCAGGTCTCTCCCTACCTCTCTAGCCTCATTCCCCACCACTGTACCTTTCACTCCAGGTATTCTGAAGTACTTTTCATTTCCCTAACTCCTCATACCATTTCCATCCCCATTCAATCTACAGCTTGTGTGCTCTGCCACGAATCTCTCCCAGGTCCCACCCCGCTTCCATGCCTCCACTTTCATCTGACTGCTTATCTTTGAAAACAGCTCAACTGTCACTCCTTTCTAAGAAGATTCCCGATTCCTAAATCTGATTTAAAAACTCCTCCTGTGTTTCCACAGCAACCTGAACATCTTAAGAATATTGTGTAGAGGACAGTAAATGAGCCAATGATTACAGGAGAGCAAAGCTCCTGGAAAGGCAGAGATGGAAAATTAAGTACTTCTGCAGCAGTAGCCAGTACGTAGTAAATGCTCAGCAAACATCTGACAAATGAGTGAATAGACCATTTGTAGGTAAGGGCTAACTGTATAGGTATGTAAGTATGTATACACACACTTAAACAAATGTACATACACGAGAGAGAAAGAATCCATTTCAACATTGCTTTTGTACACTTAAAAATATGGTTGGGCTTCCCTGGTGGCGCAGTGGTTGGGAGTCTGCCTGCCAATGCAGGGGACACGGGTTCGTGCCCTGGTCCGGGAGGATCCCACATGCCACGGAGCGGCTGGGCCTGTGGGCCATAGCCGCTGGGCCTGCGCGTCCAGAGCCTGTGCTCCGCAGCGGGACAGGCCACAACAGTGAGAGGCCCGCGTGCCGGAAAAAAAAAAAAAGGTAATATGCCCATATAGATTAAATTCCCACAGCTTGGTATCCCCCCTTTTTAAGAGAAAATTTTAAAAATACATAAAAGTAGACAGAGTAGTATAATAAACCCTGATAAACACATCACACAATTTCAACAGTGATCAATCTTATTTCATCAACCCTTCCCCCATTAAACAAATCCCAGTCATCTCATCTCATCTGTTAATACCATCTACATGTATCACTAACAGAAAAGGATTTGGTTAAACCATAGTCCCAATACTTTTCCCACACTTAACAAAAATAATTCTTTAATATCATCTATTATTTAGCTATGCTCAAATTTTCCTGTCTCAAAATTGTCTTTTTTAAACTCTAAATGTAAATACAAAGAGAAACAAATAAGTCTGTCAAATTAGTTGACCAGCTTATAACTAAGGAAAAAAAAGGAGCTAATCCAAATAACTTTCATAGTGCTTGGACTATATACCTTCAGTCTAAAGACAAAAAGAAATACAAAGAAATCTTGAACTTTTTACTTAGTAGGTTGGTTGTATAGATATAGCTATACATTTTGTATATATTGTAGGACTAAGCAAATGAGTATATTGATGTTTGTGGAATGCAGGGATTTCCCTGTGAGAGAAAGAACATACAAATATGGGATGAGGGAAGGCAAGGAAGAATACTGTAGTGTTAAGACTGGAATCTGAGGGAATCAGTAGGAAGTCAGGATAAATGCCATGAGTTTATTCAACCAGCCCCCTGTTAATTTGGGTTGTTAATTTGAGTCGTTTCCAATCTTCTTCCAGTTCTCATATACCACTGGGCACACCCCCACTCACCCCACCCCCCCAGCCTTTATCACTATGGACATCTCCCACCAGAGTATTCTATCTGTTACAAATGATGAAACTATATTAACACGTCATTATCACCCAAAGTTTTACATTAGAGTTCATTCTTGGTGTTGTACATTCTATGGGTTTTGACAAATGTACAAAGACATATTCACTATTATAGCATCTTCTGTGTTCTGCCTACTCATCCCTTCATTCCCCAATCTCAGGCAACCACTGATCTGTTTACTGTCTCCACAGTTTTGCCTTTTCCAGAATGTCATGCAGATGGAATCATACAGCATGTAGCCTTTTCAGATTGGCTTCTTTCATTTAGTAACATGCATGTATGTTTCTTCCATGATTTTTCCTGGCTTGGTAGCTTATTTCTTTTTGAAATAACATTATAAATTATATTTGTATAATATACAAATATATAATTATATAATAATATAATATTACAATAATATAATTTGGGTTGAATAATATTACATTGTCTGGATGTACCACAGTTTATTTATCCATTCACCTACTGAAAGACATCTTGGTTGTTTCCAAGTTTTGGCAATTATAAATGAAGCTGCTATAAACATCCATGTGCAGGTTTTTGTACGGACGTAAGTTTTCAATTCATTTGGGTAGAAGTGCGATTGTTCAACCATATGGTAAAAGTATGTTTAGTTGTGTAAGAAACTGCCAAACTGCCTCCCGAAGTGGCTGTGGCACTTTGCATTCTCAATGGCAGTGAATGAGAGTTCCCATTGCTCCACCTCCTTGTCAGCATTTGGTGGTGTCAGTATTCTGGGTTTCAGCCATTCTAATAGGTATATAGAGGTGTCTTACTGTTGTTTTAATTTGCAATTAATTCCCTAATGACTATGATGTTGAACATCTTTTCATATCATTGTCATCTGTATATCTTCTTTGATGAGGTGTTTGTTCAGCTCTTTTGCCCATTTTTTAGTCAGGCTGTTTTCATTGTTGACTTTCTTTTTTCTTCTTTCTTTTTTTTTTTTTCCGGTACGCGGGCCTCTCACTATTGCGGCCTCTCCCATTGCGGAGCACAGGCTCTGGACGCACAGGCTCAGCGGCCATGGCTCACGGGCCCAGCCGCTCCGCAGCATGTGGGATCTTCCCGGCCCGGGGCACGAACCCGTGTCCCCTGCATCGGCAGGCAGACTCTCAACCACTGCGCCACCAGGGAAGCCCCATTTTTTTAAAATATAAATTTATTTATTATTTTTGGCTGCGTTGGGCCTTTGTTGCTGTGCGCAGGCTTCCTCTAGTTGCAGGTGAGCATGGACTCCTCATTGCAGTGGCTTCTCTTGTTGCAGAGCACGTGCTCTAGGGCGTATGAGCTTCAGTAGTTGCGGATCGTGGGCTCTAGAGCACAGGCTCAGTAGCTGTGGTGCATGGGCTTAGCTCCTCCATGGCATGTGGGATCTTCCCAGACCAGGGCTCGAACCTGTGTCCCCTGCATTGGCAGGCAGATTCTTAACCACTGTGCCACCAGGGAACTTTTAAGAGTTCTTTATATATCTTGAATAACATCCTTTATTAGATATTCTTTTTGCAAATATTTTCTCCCAATCTGTGGCTTGTCTTCTCATTCTCTTCACAGTGTCTTTTGCAGACCAGAAATTTTTAATTTTAATGACATCCAGTTTATCAATTATTTCTTTCATGGATTGTGCATTTGGTGTTGTATTTAAAAAGTCACTGCCAAACCCAAGATCATCTAAGTTTTCTTCTCTGTTATCTTCTAGAAGTTTTATAGTTTTCCACTTTACATATAGGCCTATGATCCATTCTGAGTTAATTTTTGTGAAAGGTATAACGTCTGTGTCTAGATTCATGTTTTGCAAGTGGATGTCTAGTTGTTCCAGCAACATTTATTGAAAAGACTATCTTTTCTCTATTGTATCGCCTTTGCTTCTTTGTCAAAGATCAGTTGACTATCCTGTTATTTCTACCTTTCTAAGTCTCTTAGTTTTAGCTGTGCCTCATATATAGCATAGCATTGAATATTCATTTGTTGGCCAATCTGAGAATACTTTTAAAAGGGCAGTTACACCATTTAAATTTATAGATATAACTCACAAGTTTGGTGTATTTTCTGTCATATCATTATATGATTATTTAAATATAAAGTCCTTTGTCATATGATCTTTTTCTTTGCTTTCATTTGTGGGGTTTGTTGTTTTGTTTTTTGGTATTTGGAAAGATTTGTACTTTTGTATAATGTTTATGTTATGTTGCTACCTTTAGATAATACTCTTAGTTGCCTGTTTCTGAGATACTATCTATTGGTTCACTATTATGAGAAAGAATGAAAGTAGTTGATGGTAATCTCTTCTCTGCCTTCCCTCCCCATCTTTTACTACCATTTAATAGCCAGAGGCAATTAGCAAGTTTATTCTACCTTCTATATACTCTTCCCCTTACTCCCTCCATTTTAAAAGTTTTATTAGATCTATACTGTCAAAAAAAATATTACCAACAAGTCTTTCTCCCTTATCTGCATTATTTAGTCTTAGTTCTATAGTTAAATACATTCAGTGCTTACATCCAGTTCCTATATTAAAACAGCCACAAGTACAAATAAGTATTTCTTAGTTGTCTGAAGCTCATTCTCTGTGAGAGCTGTAAGAAGAGCTTCAGGGAACAATATTCCCTGAGTTATTAAAGGTTTAGAAGAGTTTGTGGCCTTTACACTTGAAGGTCAATGTAGCTAGATAAAGCTTTGGTTCACATTTTCTTTAACTACCTTAAATATGTTATCCACATGTTTTCCTTAATGAAGTATTATTGCTGAAAACTCTGATAACTTCCATTCTCTTTTAAGTGCTTGGTCTTGTTGCTTGGATCACCAAATAATTTTTTCTTTAAAATTTAATGATTTTACTAGAATATACTCATTAATCAAACATACTGGATCAAATATACAGGGTATAACTTTAAGTTTTCTTTTGTATCAGGAAAGTTTTATTAAATTATAGGTTTTGAGACTTGTTCAACTCTATCTACTTTACTTTTTCATAGACTACTTATTATACAAAAGTTGCATCATCTTGTCTTTATTGTCTCTATGATTTTCTCTGAAACCCTTTCACCTTTTTTCATTATCAGTGATTTCTTTTGGAAACTATTATTCTATTAAGGAATCCACTTCTATGATTCATGAAGCCCAGGCAGAGTTAACAGTGACGAGTTCTGGAGGTAACACTCCACTCTGGACTTTCTGGTTATAACCACCATCTCCTCTCTCTACCTCAACTGAAAACCGAGCCTCATGAGGCCTCAATCCCTGCCCTCCTGTTTGTGGAAGATGCCAAAGCCAACTATGTAAGAGGCTTTTTTAGAGGAGAAGACAACTCTTGTCTTCCCAGAAGACAAACCCTCTACTTTGCTTTATAAGGCAGATAGCAACCCCAAACCGCAGACAGGTTGGGACCTGCCTAGGCCTCAATCATTATCTGTGACTTTTTAAAAAAATCATTTTTCTCCTTTCCTCCACTATTTCCTTTAGCAAAACTTCCAAGTTGCCTATTGACCTTTATATTCTTTCCAGTTTAGCATCTATTCCTGAAAGGTTATTTTCTTTTACTCTTAATTCTTTACTGAGTTCAGAACTGTACCATCCCTAAAATCTTAATCTAAAATCTAAACTCAACTACAACCTTTTAACTTACAACTCTCTTCTCTGTTATTTCCCACCATCAGTTCCAGCAAGCCCTTCATTTCCTTTATCGTTCCCTTTTCTCCCAGTCAATTGGTTCCATCCTGACTTTACTTCCTTTCTCATCTAGCCTAGAACCTACAGTCCATTCAAAAACCTCTTAGCACTCTCAACTGCCTTGCTGGAGGTTTATTTTCACCTCACCTGTAGAGCTCAAACCCTGAATTAATCCAACCACTTATCTTCTTCCCCTGTGTCTCATGCAGCCAAACGATTTCCTGAATGATTAACTATCTCCTTTCTACTATTGCATCATCCCAAACATATCAAATATATACTGCTTGGCATTTATTTTATTATTATTATTTTTAAATAAATTTATGTATTTATTTTGGGCTGCATTGGGTCTTCGTTGTTGCATGCGGGCTTTCTCTAGTTGTGTTGAGTGGAGGCTACTCTTCGTTGTGGTGCGTGGGCTCCTCATTGTGGTGGCTTCTCTTGTTGCGGAGCACGGGCTCTAGGCGCACGGGCTTCAGTAGTTGTGGCACACGGGCTCAGTAGTTGTGGCTCAGGGGCTGTAGAGAGCAGGCTCAGTAGTTGTGGCGCACAGGCTTAGTTGCTCCGCAGCATGTGGGATCTCCCTGGACCAGGGCTTGAACCTGTGTCCCCTGCACTGGCAGGCGGGTTCTTAGCCACTGCACCACCAGGGAAGCCCCTGCTTGGCATTTAGCAGGCATTTAATGAACACTTATAAATTACTCTTCTAAAATTACTTTTGAATACCCTGTGGTCCAGCCAAATCCCTCTACTTAATGGTGACACTATGCTTTGTGAATTCCTATCAGTTTGTGCCAGCCTGCTGAAATACTACTCTTTCTTCAAGACACCAATCAACAGCCAAGTTCTAAGCTCTGTGGAGGCACCATGTATTGTCTTGTTGGCACTGCAGTCTCAGCAATGAGTATAGGCCTGGCACAGAAGTACTCAATACATTTTGCTAATGTTAACATTTAATTATTACATAATGTCAGCACATACTGCTTTGTATTATGAACCTGAATACAAGTCTTTGCAGCTTTGTTAAAAGGAGACAGACCATTTCTTACTGTATATCTCACAGCATCTTTTTTATTGTTGTTGCATATATCAATAGTAAGTTCTTTATTATTGCTGTGTACTGTTCCATTTTAACAAATCTACCACACCTTATCTTGCTAATGGGCATTTGGATAATTTCTGGTTTAGGGGTTATTAATAAAGCAACTATGAACATTTTTATATAGTTTTTTAAATAGGTATATGCACTCATTTCTCTGGGATATAAACCTATGAGAAAAACTGCTTGGACATAGGGTAGGTATGTTTAACTAGTATTAGAGGCCCACAAAAGTTTTTCAAAGTGACTGTACCATTTTATATTCCCACTAGCATTGTATGAGAGTTTCAGGTGCTTCATGTTCTCATCACCACTTGGTATTGTCAGTCTTTTTAATAATTTTGGTGGGTGGGGTAGTACTTCCTGGTTTTAATTTGCATTTTCCTGGCAAATAATGATGTTGAGTATCTTTTCACTGGCTTAGTGCTCATTTGAATATCTTGCTTTGTGCAATATCAAGTTTTTCTTACCCATTTAAAAAACTGGGCTATATATTATGGATATATATAATTATCTATTATGGATACCAGTCCTTTGTCGGATGTTTTCCTGTCCTCACAGCACCTTTAACGCTCAATAACTACCCGTTGAATGAATAAGTGAGGATCATTCGTTGCAATGGGAGCAAAGACTGGGATCTAGGATTCTCTTTCAGAGCGAAATAACTTTAAGAAAAGGTCTTTTAAGAGATGTGCAAAGGGAAATGCACTTCTCGTGTCAAAGTTAAAAGGTAATTGTACAATAACATACTTTAAGAGTTGAAAAAAACTCGTGTAAAGCAACCACAAAAGTGGAGATTGTGGCCCATTATATACCAATTTTACCTCTCCTATTTAAGCTAGAGATCACAGCTGGAGAAGCAAAATCAAAAGCTGTCAGGAGTTGGTAACTGATGTGTGGATTAACAATAAAGTTCCTCTAGCGCCAATCTAAATTCAGGGGAAAAAAGCTTAGGAAACCAACACTAAGACATATATTACAGATAAACTTAAATATGTATTTTTTCCATTCTCCCCCATCCAGCCTGTAACCAGACGCTGGTTGGTGGGGGAGAACCCGCCTCCGGCGAGGACGCAGCCCGCGGGGCCAGTTCTCTGGCCATTCCCAAGACCTTGAAGGGACACCAGGTCAGAAGCAGGGTTCGCTTCCTTTCACTCACCGCTACCGCCTTCCTTCCGATTGGCTGATCCGCGACAACACAGACAATACTGGTCGCTGATTGGCCAGGATATTGCCAGGGCAGCCAAGCCTGCAGACTCCTAACAGGCTAACGAGGTCCCGGTGGAGGGCAGTCCAGGGACTTCGGAACAGCTATGTGCCTACCTGCTGAGATGCACTCCCGCGGCCTGGCTCGAACCCTCAGCTGCGGTCCCCGGCTCACTGCCCGACCTAAAGAGCTCAAGGTCCAATTCTCACATACACCCCGGGAAGCCGCTGCTGGCCCTATGCAGGGCCGTGGTCACCGCGCAGTCTCCACCACCGCCTTTCCTCCCTAGCGCCGGTGCTACAGTCAGCACCATCCCTACTGCCTACGGCGCGGAAAGGTAACCGAGTCTCCTTACCTGAACGACCCTGCTGGCAGACGCCATCTTGCTGCCCATCATGACCCCCGAGAGGGGCAGCTTCCGGGCCCTGGCGAGCAGCGGCTATAACAGGAGTCCTGGGCGGCTGGGGGCGGGCTCTACCTGTGACGTCACGGAGGAGGAGTGGGCGCTCGGGAGAGACCCTCCTCCACTGCGGAGCTAGCCCCACCCACTTGTGCCTGACACCGCCCCTCCTCTTTTCCTGCCTGGGAACTGACTCAGGTGTTTCCCATTGCTTCGTTTTGCAGACGAAGGTTTGTGGTATTGTATTTATTTTGTTCACCGGCCTATGAGTGATCTGGGACCATTTCTTCTCCAGATAGGCAGTTTCCAGTTTCAGTGTAGTCCAAAATTTAATCTGAAACCAAATAAGTAATATAAATTCTTGTGGCTTCCTACAACGAACAATCTTGTTAAAGTTTAGGAGTAAGATGCCAGCTCAGAAAGAGTGGTCAGTTCCGGGTCTATACAAGGCCACCTCATACTCCGTTGCTTATTATTTTTTTTTTTATTGAAGTGTAGTTGTTTTACAATGTTGTATTAATTCCCGTTGCTTATTAACATTTCTCGATTTGGTATTCTGATTCCTTTCTCTACCATTAGTCCTGATATTAAACTACTGCCTACTTGGAGTTTGAGAAAACTCAGAAGCTCAAGTTTTTCTTTTTGAAACATGAGCCATCCATGTCATTCCACCACATTATATTAAATTCTATGGTAAATATTAATGTTTACAATGTTAAAAATTTTTAATACACAATATGTTGCAGCCATTTAACTTTGTAGGTAATGCAGCCTTACACTATTGTAAATATTTAGAGTGACAAATTTGTTTTGATGATCTAGGTCAATGGTTTCTAAATCTAGAGGGTTATTGAGCCTAAACATGGGCCCTTCTGATTCAGTATGTGTGTGGAGGACACCAGGAATCTTTTTTTTTTAAAGCTTTCAAAGCTTGTTTTAGCAGCACATATTCTAAAATCAGATTGATAAAGTGGTTAAATGGGCAAAGCACATGAACCGGTAAATTACAGAAAAGAAACATAAATTGCCCTTAAAAACGTTAAAAGACATTCAACCACCCTTATTCTAAGAAAAATTTAAACTACACTAAAACGCTATTTTCAATCCGTCAAATTGGCCAACAGACAGAATTTGGAGAATATGATTTGGGGAGGCTGTAGGGAAAGAGGCACTAATGTATATCGTTGGTAGTGATGAAATGAAACTTGTATTTTAAGACAGGACAAGAAAAATTAAACATAAAATTCTCTGTGTGTCCCTTTGGGCCTCCTCCCTCCCTAATGTGTATATGCATCTGCATTACACATTAACCAGAGCTCATCAAACATGGGAGCACTTGCTCAACTGCAAAGATCTTTTTGTTTTTTTCTTTCTTCTGACGCTAGCAATGTAACTTCTTAAAACAATAGCCTTCTAACAGGCGGAAAAGTTCTCAGAGCTTTCTGAGAATCGGCTACCTGGATTATAATTCTGTTTGGCTTGAATAAAATTCCTCCCCCCCCACTCTTATCTTGATAGTTAATTGAATATCAACTGAATAGTTAATTGAATTTTCATCGACAGTGGGAGTAAAAGATGGTACTCGAAAAAACTACATACTGAATGACTCCAAATATATGACACTCTGGAAAAGGCAAAACTATGGAGACACTTAAAATATCAGTGGTTGCCAGGGGTTGGGGAGAGGGAGGGACAACTGGCAGAGCACAGGGGATTTTTAGGACAGTGAAACTATTCTGTACGATACTATAATGGTGGGTACATGTCATTATACATTTTTCAAAACTCATAAAATATACAACCCTTGGGTGATAATGACATGTTAATGTTAGGGTTCAGTTGTAACAAATGTACCGCTCTAGTCGGGGATGGTGACAGCGGGGTGAAGTTGTGCCTGTGTGCGGGAAGTAGGTATACGGGAACTCTGGATTTTCTGCACCATTTTGCTGTGAACCTAAAACTGCTTTAAAAAATAAAGTGGGTCTTCCCTGGTGGCGCAGTGGTTGAGAGTCCGCCTGCCGATGCAAGGGACACAGGTTTGTGCCCCGGTCCGGGAAGATCCCACATGCTGCGGAGCGGCTGGGCCCGTGAGCCATGGCTGCTGAGCCTGCGCGTCCGGAGCCTGTGCTCCGCAACGGGAGTGGGACAACAGTGAGAGGCCCGCGTACCGCACACAAAATAAAAATAATAAAAGTGTATTTAAAAATTTTTTTTAAAGTCACCATTGCCGAAACCAGATAAACTAATGTGTTTTTAAAGTTCAAAAACGGTGACTATACTTGATGACATTGTATTGTACAACTGAAATTTTCTAAGAGAGTAGAACTTAAATGTTCTCACCAAAAAAAAGAAAAGAAAGAAAAGGTAAATATGTGAGGTGATGGATGTGTTAACTGATTGTGGGAATCCTTTCACAATGTATACATATATCAAATCAACACACTGAAAACTTTAAATATTTTACAATTTTGTCAATGACCTCAATAAAGCTGGTGGGGAAAAGCTCAAAAGCAACAGCAGCTTAGATGCCTAGTACACAGACTTTTCATTTACATTCAGAGAAACAGCAAGTTTCTATGTGAAAATCTACAATATTAGATTCTCATTCTGGTCATTTAAGAGAGAATTTATTGGCTACTTTTCTAAATAAAATAAATATTTGTCATTTTCCTTTATGATTATACTTAAGAGATGAAGAAAATGGGCAAAGAATTCCCATGATTTTTTTTTTTTTGCGGTACGTGGGCCTACTCACTGTTGTGGCCTCTCCCGTTGCGGAGCACAGGCTCTGGATGCGCAGGCTCAGCGGCCATGGCTCACGGGCCCAGCCGCTCCGCGGCATGTGGGATCTTCCTGGACCGGGACACGAACCCGTGTCCCCTGCATCAGCAGGCGGACTCTCAACCACTGCGCCACCAGGGAAGCCCACAGGTGGATTCTTAACCACTGCGCCACCAGGGAAGCCTAAGATTTTTTTTATTTTTTTATACAGCAGGTTCTTATTAGTTATCTATTTTATACATATTAGTGTATATATGTCTAGAGATTTTATTAAAAGATAAACTTTCCAAGTCCTGTAATACCAAGAAGTTTCCTGGGAATACCTGATGATAAATTCAGAAAATGTCAAATGCAATACAAATTACTGGTCATATTGGTATGAATTTTGTTTGGGAAGACTGCCAGGAAAATGCTCTGACTTTTCTCTACTTGTGGATTTATTTGTAAGTGTTGGCATTCATACTCCACAGAATTCTCATCCAGGCCCCTTCTTGATTAGTTCTTTCTAGGATGAAGATGATAAAAGTAGCTGAAGCTGAGGCAGCAAACCAAATCCTATCTTATCTTCCTGCTGCTCAGTTTCAATCACCCTCCCGTCATCACATCATTTGATTACTCATCCCATGCAAGTCTCGTGATTTTCGTCTTGTAAAACAAAGGATGTTGTCCACCCTCCAGTTCTACAAGGATCAAGTCATTAGCCACTGCAATACCTGACCTACAGTATACCCTGAAAGGAATTCAAAACAGAGGAGGCACTCTGTGCTTTAGGAGAACAGGCAAAACAGGCCCTTAGTTAGATATATTTCAGGAAATTTTGTGATTCTGGTTTCTTGCATCCTCCCATACTTAGAAAAGCACTAAAATCCTTAACTGGTGTATCTGTTCCTCTTGACTAGCAGTAACCTTCTACTGAGATGTATACTGGATTGCACATACTTATTAGCCAAAGTCACATATATAATTGGCCTGTCCCCCTACCTCTTCGGAGCAGTTCCTCAGAGCTCTCTGAGAGGCTGTCTCCTAGTCCTCAGTAGGACACAATAAAACTCAACTCACAGCTCTTACATTGTGCATTTTTCTTTCAGTCAACAGTCTATATCCTGAATGCTATTACTTGACTATTTTCATGGACCTGTGGAGCACACCATCTGATTCTACCTTATATTGTGTCTTAACGTCCCTATCTTATCTGGCCTTTGACTTTCTTGTTCCATGTACCTCGTTCCTGACATTTGCTGTACATCTGTTAGGTAGAACTCATTGTGTATGACAACTTCCTGATGTGATGCAATACAAAGTACCCAGAACAACTTGTGAATTTTCTTGATAAAAAAAAATTGAAACTACTTTAATAAAGCACTTAGATCTGACTTCTGATTTACAGGAATAAAGAGGTGAAACAAGCTACCTACACTACTAGGAAGCAATCAGACTAATCAGAATAGAGAACTTTCTACAGGGCAACTGGTTCCTTCAAGTCAATGACTGTAAGAAGAAGAGGTTGGGGGGTGCATATAATCTGTTGCAGCTACTCAATTCAGTTCAACTAGAGATCTTATGATGGGGTTACGTCCCAATAAACCTATCCTAAGTTGAAAAGATCCTAAGTCAAAATGAATTTAATACACCTAACCCTTTTTTTTAATGTATTTTTTAAAGTCTTTATTGAATTTGTTACAATATTGCTTCTGTTTTATGTTTTGGCTTTTTGGCTGCGAGGCATGTGGAATCTTAGTTCCCTGACCAGGGATTGAACCAGCACTCTTCATTGGAAGGTGAAGCCTTAACCACCAGACCGCCAGGGAAGTCCCAATACACCTAACCTTAAATGTGCTCATAACACTTACATTAACCTACAGTTGGGCAAAATCATCTAACACAGCCTATTTTATAATAAAGTGTTGAAAATGTCATGTAACTTATTGACTACTGTACTGAAAGTGAAAAACAGAATGGTTTAAGTATACTGGTTGTTTGCCTCTGTGACTGTGTGGCTGACAGATGTGGCTCGCTGCTGCGGCCCAGCATCATGAGAGTATTGTTAGCCCAGGAAAAGATCAAAGTTCAAAATTCAAAGTATGGTCTCTACTAAATGCACATAGCTTTTGCACCATCAGAGTTGAAATATCCTAAGCTGAACCATCATAAGCAGGAGACCAGCGTATGCTATTGTAGAGGGAAAGCAGCCATAGATAATATGTAAACCTATGGGTGTGGCTTTGTTCCAATAAAACTTTATTTATAAAACCAGTCAGCTGGTAAATCATAGTTTGATATGACAAAACAACCAACCAAACAACCATCACCACCACCACCATTTTTAAGAAAAATGTATTAGCAAAAGCACCACTAGCCTGGATTTTAAAAGACTGTGACTGTTTGAGATGTAAAAAGATATTTGGGTCCCCAACTAAGAAAGCTGTTCAGATGGGCATAATCTCTAATGCCCTCTTCAGATATGGCCAAAGTTAGTAATGGATAGGGAGAACCTCCCAAAGGGTAGAATGAACCACAGATAAAGAACTGCTTCCAGAGAGCCAAATCCAAAGGTGTTCCCTGTCCCCTAGGAAAGGGCACCTCCTATCACTTGCCAAGCAATATTTCAGAACTGCTACAGTCCTTCTCCACTATTGTTCGCTGGCTGTATGAAGCAGTATAGCTTGTCTTTTCAGTTCATAGGTCTCCAGATCAGGAAGAGCTACATCTGAAATAATGTGAAGACTCTTTGAACTGGTATGACTAGATGACATTGTTAGCTTACCTTCTTTGGGGAGAGGTGCATCTTTTACATGCAAAAGGGAAGTTAATATTTAAGACCAAGGTAGCAGGTTGTGGTACACTATATTCTTTTCAGCAAATATCCATCTGGTTTCCCCAGCACTTCCCTGCTGTGAGAGTATACTTTCGTGCCCCAGTGATGTTGAGCTTGAGTGGAACCTGGGTGGAAATAATGTATACCTGTTCCAAGTAGAAACGAAATGTGCTTGTATAATTTGACTTGGCCTCATAAGCCATGAGCATGTGTTTCAGACAGTGGCTGCACGCTCAACCTGGGTCCTAGAATGATCAGCCAAACCATGGATCCAACAGAGAGTATGTTTCTTATAAGCCACTGAGATTTGAGGTTTTTCAGCATGATTTCCAAGAAAGCTAACTAATACAATTTCTCCCTCAGAGCTGGGCTGTAAGAGGGAGTACACAACAGGACAATAAAATCTTAGGAAAATGCAGAAAGTTTTTCTGAGGATGGTGGTAACCCTTTGAGTTGGGATTCATTAATAAAGCGTGCATCTATGATTTATTTAATGCTGTATCTTTGGATCAGGAAGGTATTTTCCAGAATGTTTTTCTATGAGAAAAATATAACTTCTTTGATAATTCATGTGGACCATTTCCAAGAATACACTGTGGCAAAAAGAGTAACTACACATAAGATTTAAATACTAGGGCTTCCCTGGTGGCGCAGTGGTTTAGAGTCCACCTGCCGATGCAGGGGACACAGGTTCGTGCCCCGGTCCTGGAAGATCCCACATGCCGCGGAGCGGCTAGGCCCGTGAGCCACGGCCGCTGAGCCTGCGCGTCTGGAGCCTGTGCTCCGCAACGGGAGAGGCCATAACAGTGAGAGGCCCGCGTACCACAAAAAAAAAAAAAAAAGATAAAATTTAAAAAACTACACATAAATTATGATTTATCAAAACAAATGAAGCAAAACTATAAATATTCCAAAGAAAAGTTTCTAGAATTCAAATCTCTTTATTTTTGTTACTGATCTAAAGAACAGATTTCAAATGCTATTACCACTGCAGTGCATCTTTTCCAGTTTAAATTCCTTCTTTTTTTCTTTAAACGTCATTATGTCTTTTTCAACTAGAGCAATGTTTTAAAAATATTTATTTATTTATTTATTTGGTTGTGCCAGGTCTTAGTTGAGGCAGGTGGGCTCCTTAGTTGCAGCGCACCGGCTCCGTAGTTCTGGCTTGCCGGCTCCTTAGTTGCGGCATGCAAACTGTTAGTTGAGGCATGCATGTGGGATCTAGTTCCCTGAGCAGGGATCCCTTAAAGTCCATCTTAAAAGAATGTTGAAAACACTACATTGTCTATAAAAATTATCAACAGCTCCAAATTAATAAAGAGCTCAAATTAGTTTTCCAAAACTGGAATTGGATTCTATAAAAGGTGGCAAGTTCTATTTTTTAATAAGATAGAATAATATTTATTCTTTTTATTTTTTAACTTATAAAAGTAATGCACAATAAACATAAAAATACAAAAGAAAAAAGTCACAAATTTTCTATAATAACCACAACTGTTAACATTGTGAATATGTTTTTCTTTTTCTTTCTTTTTCATGATTGAGGTGCTTTATTTGGGTGTCTGTTTAAAAATGCAGATGGGGAAGTGAGAGAACTGGGGAAATGGTGGTCAAGGGGTACAAACTTGCAGTTAGAAGATGAATAAATTTTGGAGATCTAATGTACAGCACTGTGATTCTAGTTAACAATACTATATTACATACTTCAAAGTTACTAAGAGGGTAATCTTAAATATTCTCACCACGATAAAGAAATGATAATTATGTAACATGATGGAGGTGTTAGCTAATGCCATGGTGGTCAAATCAACATGTTGTACATCTTAAACTTACACAATGTTATATATCAATTATATCGCAAATTTGTTTTAAAAAGGCAAAAGAAAATCTCTAGTGAGACAGAACTAAAATGAGATTTATTTGAATAAAATACAATTGACAGTTGAAAAAAATAAAGATGTGGATATGCTTTTCTAAATTTCCAATATTTTGTTTGACAAATAAATAGAGTAGTATTCCAAATGAGAGTTGGGACTTACAGGAATGTTGTAAAAAACAGTCCACATTCAGTGGAAAGCTGGACTAGATATCTTTTGGGACACTTCCAAGTCTAACATTTTCAGATTCTTTTAGATTATGCCAGTCACTTTATCATATTTAAAGCAGTAAATTCCATGTACCACTGTTAAGCTAAAAAAAAAATTGCAGTATTAGAACAGCTCCAAAAACACTGAAAAGCATTTCACTTAAAATTTGCAATTTAAATGACATTAAAGACAGAAACAAAAATACGTCAAAACAGAATTCTTATTGGATCATGGTGAGATTCTTCTCAAGCTGCAGAACAGTTTCCTTCAGGGCAGAATCCTCTGCCCAGTTGGCTTTACTCCCCAAAATGAGGTTCTGTAATTAAGAAAAAAAATTTTTTAATTAATGTTCTAAGTACTCTTAAAAATTTAACAAGATTTTAAAAAAATCCTCAGGACTTCCCTGGTGGCGCAGTGGTTAAGAATCCACCTGCCAATGCAGGGGACACGGGTTTGAGCCGTGGTCCGGGAAGATCCCACATGCCATGGAGCAACTAAGCCTGTGCACCTTAACTACTGAGCCTGCGCTCTAGAGCCCGCGAGCCACAACTACTGAGCCTGCAAGCCACAGCCACTGAGCCCGTGTGCTGCAACTACTGAGCCCGTGCGCCTAGAGCCCATGCTCCGCAACAAGAGAAACCCCTGCAATGAGAAGCCTGCACACCACAATGAAGAGCAGCCCCCGCGCACCACAACTAGAGAAAAGCCCGCGCACAGCAACGAAGACCCAATGTAGCCAAAAATAATAAATAAAGTAAAGAGGGACTTCCCTGGTGGTCCAGTGGCTAAGACTCCGTGCTCCCAATACCAGGGGCCCGGGATTGATCCCTGGTCAGGGAACTAGATCCCACATGCCGCAACTGAGAGTTCGCATGCCACAACTAAAGATCCTGCACGCAGCAATGAAGATCCCAGTACAGCCAAATAAATAAATAAATATTAAAAAAAAAAAAGTAAAGAAAAACCTCCAGGCTAAATGAATACATAAAATTTAAAAACTGACATAATGGGGACTTCCCTGGTGGCGCAGTGGTTAAGAATCCGTCTGCCAATGCAGGGGACAAGGGTTCGATCCCTGGTCCGGGAAGATCCCACATGCCGTGGAGGAACTAAGCCCCTGCACACCAACTACTGAGCCTGTGTGCCACAACTACTGAAGCCCCTGCGCCTAGAGCCCGTGCTCTGCAACAAGAGAAGACATTGCAATGAGAAGCCCAAGCACCACAACGAAGAGTAGCCCCTGCTCGCCAGAACTAGAGAAAGCCTGTGTGCAGCAAAGAAGACCCAACACAGCCAAAAAATAAATAAATAAACTTAAAAAATAAAAAAATCCTGACATGACAATAACTACCAATATTGAGAATTTGCTTCGAGCAGACACTATGCTAAACAGATTAACATGAATTATCACCTTTAGTTCTAATAACCACTCTTCCTACACAAGGAAACTAATGCTTAGAAAAGTTAAATAATTTCCTCAAGGTCAGCAACTTTAAAAAAAAATTTATTTATTTTAATTTATTTATTTGTGTGCAGGCTTTTTCTAGTTGCAGTGAGCGGGGGCCACTCTTTGTTGCGGTGCGTGGGCTTCTCATTGCGGTGGCTTCTCTTTTTGCAGAGCATGGGCTCTAGGCACGTGGGCTTCAGTAGTTGTGGCATGCAGGCTCAGTAGTTGTAGCGCAAGGGCTTATTTGCTCCATGGCATGTGGGATCTTCCCAGACTGGGGATCGAACCGTGTCCCCTGCATTGGCAGGTGGATTCTTAACCACTGTGCCACCAGGGAAGTCCCTCAGCAACTATTAAGTAGCTGGTAGGATCTTAACTCTAGACTCCCATCACCTGCATCCATGTTTTCCCCACTTCCCAACTTGAAGTCTAATGTTCTCCATCATTATACCATTCTGCCTCCACAGAGCTGCTGATATCATTTCCATTTATAAATGCCTAAGGTCTAACTATAACAAAAAACCAAAGCCTTAAATGCTAAACAGACATAAATTCAAGATATATGTAAACAGCTTGATATTCAGTACTGAATTATTTAGTAAGATCAAAAACTAAATGAAAAAAAAAAAAAAGAAAAGAAAACTAAATGAAAATAAGCCTGAAAGTAATAGAACCATTCACTTTTGAAAAGTTCTTTACCCCGCTTCCTATTTTATAAAAATATTACCTGGAACACATGTTGAATAACTGTAGTAATCTGTATCTCCATCTCCAGGTTTTGTTGTATGGTCTTTATCTTCCCCGAATTTTCCATACTACCCAAATCATCTTTCTGTTTGTTCTTTTCAGTCTGTATTTCTAAAAGCTTCCTTTCTGAAGCTTGTTTTAACTCTATTGGGTTAAAAATAAAACGATATACTATATATGATAACTCCTATAAACAAGAATCTTGAAAACTTATGAAGCAGAACAGTTACTGATTATTTCAGTCAAGAGAAAATTTTTAATAAGCAGCATTTTAGGCTGCAGTTCCATTTTGATCTGAAAATGATTTCTCTGGTGCAAAACACCAATATTTTAATTTCATACTTAGTAATGTCCTCTGTGAGATGTTCAAGGTATGTATGTATGACAGTGATACTGTCTACAAATGTTTGCTGTGGCATCATGTCAAAGAGGACTTACTCTGGGTTGCCAAAAAAATAGCAGGAGATATATGTAAGGAAATACTTTCCCCCCCTTTATTTACAAAAATTAAAATATCAACAAGATGAATTTTCAAGGAAAGGTAAGATTCCCTTCTCCAGGGATAAATACCATCAACCATTTTTTGTTGTTGTTCCCGAAACGTTCTGAGAACTAAACTACAAATCTTCCTGGTAAACCCATCTTAAGTTGAAAATATCCTAAGTCGAAAACGCATTTAGTACACCTAATCTACCAAACATCACAGCTTAACTTAGCCTACCTTAAATATGCCCAGAACACTTACATTAGCCTGCAAATGGGCAAAATCATCTAACACAAAGCCTGTTTTATAACAATGTGTTAAATATCTCATGTAATTTATTGAATACTGTACTGAAGGTGAAAAACATAATAGTTGTAAGTGTATTGGTTGTTTACCCTTATGATCACATGGCTGATAGGAGCTGGGGCTTGATGTTGCTGCCCAGCATCACAATGGAGTATGTTACTAGCCCAGGAAAAGAGCAAAATTCAAAATCTGAATTCAGTTTCTACTAAATGCATATCATCATAAAGTCAAAAAATCATTAAGTCGAAACATCATAAGTTGGGGACAGATAGTATTTGAAACCATAAATGGGTATATCTCAGGAGCTTGGTTCCTTGACAGGAATGCAATGGAAAAAAAGCCAAAGGGTGATTAGATCAGATGACCAGGACTACTTCTAATCCTGAGATTACTTACAAAAAGGCAAATCTACATAATATTTTAAAATAATAAATCATGCCTATACTGTTAAATGAAAACAGCAGTTTACAACACAGAATAAAATTATGCCAATTTTATTTTATAAATAAGAAGCATTGAAGATCGATTATCTCTTGATAAAATTAAAAATTTAACTTCCTATGTATGTTTTTCTGTTTCTAAATTCTTTATAGAGAATATGTGTTACTTCTGAAATACATTTCAATAAAACATTTCAATGCAAAAAGCCATCTCATATTCATTAAGTTAAAAAGCTGTAGAACCATATGCATCAAGTGATCATTTAAAAATTATGTTTAGGGGGCTTACTTGGTGGCACAGTGGTTAAGAATCCGCCTGCCAATGCAGGGGACACGGGTTCGAGCCCTGTTCTGGGAAGATCCCACATGCCGCAGAGCAGCTAAGCCCGTGAGCCACAACTATTGAGCCGGCGCTCTAGAGCCCGAGAGCCACAACTACTGAGCCCACATGCTGCAACCACTGAAGCCTGCGCGCCTAGAGCCCGTGCTTCACAACAAGAAAAGCCACCGCAATGAGAAGCCGGCGCCCTGCAACTAGAGAAAGCCTGCGCGCAGCAACAAAGACTCAACGCAGCCAAAAATAAAATAAAATAAATAAATTTTAAAAAATTATGTTTATTTAAATACATTTATATGGGTGTGGAAAAAGGCCTGGAATGATGTACTCCTAACTGTGGTCACACAGGATGGAGGTATGGCTTTCACATTATACTTTTTTGTATTATTTGATATTCCTTCCTGCACTGAGAATATCTTAATTTTTGTGATTTAAAGTTCTAAAACAACAAATCAAGCAAAATCCATTTTATATACTACTTTTTAAATTGCTATGTCCAAAATTTTAAGGAAATTAAAAAATTTTTCAGTGATTGAGAGATCTGGCCTTATCAATCTTCATATTAAGTGAAAATGTGTTCTCAAAAAAAAAAAAGTGTTCTACATACGCAATCTCTTCTTTCTAACATCAAGCAATTTGTCTTCCAAGTCCCGGGTTTCCTGTTATTAGAAATAAAAAGATTAAGGCACATAACCTAAGAACACACCTATAATATTTAAATCACTGAATTTATCTATTCATATTTTCTAGAGCTCTAGTTTTCAATTCCTCTGTTTCCACACAACAAAAGGGAAAGGAAAAGTAGCTTAAATGATAAGTAGATAATTAGTCAGAAATAATGGAATTATGGAAAAGAGAGAAAATTTAAGGACAGTGAATTCCAACCATATCAGTCTCTTTGGGCAATCCTATTTAGTCACATACAGTTACCAGCAAGAATGTTACTGAAATCATGAGAATGCATAAGCAGCTTTATATTCAAAGTTACCTGCTGTGATTTCATTACTGATTTATTTAGACTTAGTATTTGTTTCATGTTATCCATGAGCACACTGAAAAGGAATAAAAAATATGATTAACAGTTAAAAAACCTCAATTAAGAAATCAGTTAGTATATATTTACTTTCATTATATTCACTGTACACTTCAATAGAAAGTCATTGTTTAACAAAATAAGTCTGGAAAAATTTGATGTAAACTAAATTTCTGTTTAGAATTAGAGATGCATTTCCCTAGAAAAATTTTTGCTCACAGACAACAAAGAATATCAAATAACATTTCTTGTGTTTTTTCTCTTGGCTGCACTGCACGGCATGTGGGATCTTAGTTCCCCGACCAGGGATCAAACCAGTGCCCCCTGCAGTGGACGCTCGGAGTCTTAACCAGTGGACCGCCAGGGAATTCCCCAGGAACATTTCTAAAAATCTCATATTTAGGGGGAAAAAACCCTAACAGCTTGCTAATACATAGCTTTTTTTTGGAAACAGACTTTAGTTTTTAGACAAGTTTTAGGTTCAAAGCAGAACCGAGTGGAAGGGAAGCCCATGTACACGCTGGCCCCACGCTTGCACAGCCTCCCCCGCAGCAGAGCGAGCCATTTGTTACAAATGATGAACCTACACTGACGCATCATTATCACCCAGAGGCCATGGTTTACATTAGGGTTAGGGTTCATTCTTGGTGTTGTACATGCTATGAGTTGACAAATGTATAATGACATGTATCTACCATTATCATATCATACAGAATAGTTTCAGTGAATAAAGTGCTTTTATCCCCATTTCTCCAACAAGTATTTCTTTTTTTTTTTAATTAGTTAATTTATTTATTTTTGGTTGTGCTGGGTCTTTGTTGCTGCGCACGGGCTTTTTCTCTAGTTGCAGCGAGCAAGGGCTCTAGGTGTGCGGGCTCAGTAGTTGTGGTGTATGGGCTTAGTTGCTCTATGGCATGTGGCATCTTCCTGGACCAGGGCTCGAACCCGTGTCCCCTGCATTGGCAGGCGGATTCTCAACCACTGCGCCACCAGGGAAGCCCCTCCAAGTATTTCTGAGTGACTACTACATGGCAAGACTGTGCCAGGCACCAGGAATATAAAACAGAGTAAAACATAGTACATGTTTTCAAAGAGGAAAGAATCTTATGGGGGAAAAAATAAATCCACAACCATCATATGGTTTCATTACAACCAGTAATGGATATGAACCCTTCTAAGAGTTGTGCAAAGGGTGGAACAAGGGAAATCCTTGAGTCTTAAAAGATGTAAAGTATAGTTGAACCTTGAACAATGCAGGTGGGGTGAGTGGTTAGGGACACCAACCATCCCACACAATCAAGAGCACTGCTATCTCTGCCTCAAAAACAAAGGAATTAAATGACTCACCCAAGGGCAGAAAGCTGAAACAGTTTGGATCAAACCCTAGTTCTTCTGATTCCACATACTGTGACCTCTAACTAAACACAAATCTTCCCCCATACTTAGTTAACTTAAAGATCTGTAAAATGAAAATACAGGTGCCATATTTATTGAAAAAAACCCCAAACAACCTGCATATAAGTGGACTTGGGCAGTTGAAACCCAGGTTGTTCAATGCTCAAGTGTAATTATGAAGATTACCTAGATCAAGCAGTTTAGTAGGCTGGAGTAAAAGGGTGGAAATAAGACTGGATGAGAAAAGTGGTTCTCATATTTCAGAGTGCCACATTCCCTTGGGAGGCTCGTTAAATGTGGATTGCCAGCTCCCCATCTTCAGAGATTCTGAGTCAGCAGGTTTGGGATGGGACCAGCAATGTGGCCATTGTGAAAATACTAATTATCCTGATAATCAGCCAGGCGTGAGAAACACTGTAGAAGTTTACCTGGGAGGCTGAAAAAGGGGACTATCTGCACAGACCTGAGAGCTGAACTCATTTTCTGCTAGTTACAGCTATACGTGGTTGTAAACTTTAAGACAGGCTAAAGGCGCTGCCTCAGCCTACCTGGCCTTTGTGCTGTCTTTGGTGTCAATGTGATGAATCTATCCTGCACTCCTTTAACTCAAGAATGTTTTAAGCTCTCCTTTCGTGGGGGAGCAATATTTAGAGAGTTCAAATTCAGATTTTAGGATTTATGTAGTCCTGGAGTTAAATGGAATATGGGAGGAATGGGTATCAGTCAGGGCTAAGACGTCCAGATAGAGAAAGTGCCAGATCCATCTCTGTACTCTTCCTGTGCCAACAGTGGGGTGGTGGTGGTGGTGGTATTTTATCACAAGATTAGAGCTTTGGGAGATAAAATCACAGGTAAGGCCCCAGTGGCCAGGCACTTAGGCTCAGATTAGAGATGACCTTGATTGCCCGGCCAATTATTGAACCTATGCAAGATCATTTCTGCCAATACAAAAATGAGGAGTATATTTCCTATCTCATTGAGTTGGCTTAAATGAGATAGCATTGCTCCTGCTTTACAGTAAATCCCAAACGAAAGTTAACTTTCAAAACCTTCCTTCAGGGGCTTCCCTGATGGCACAGTGGTTGAGAATCCGCCTGCCAATGCAGGGAGCACAGTTTCGAGCCCTGGTCCAGGAAGATCCCACGTCGTGGAGCAACTAAGCCCGTGTGCCACAACTACTGAGCTTGCGCTCTAGAGACTGCGTGTCACAACTACTGAAGCCCATGCGCCTAGAGCACGTGCTCCGCAACAAGAAGCCACTGCAATGAGAAGCCCGCATACCGCAACAAAGAGGAGCCCCTGCTCACCGCAACTAGAGAAAGCCCGCGCACAGCAACAAAGACCCAACGCAGCCAAAAATAAATAAATTTATTAAAAACAAAAACAATCCTCCTTCAAAATTCTCAGATTGGGGACTTCCCTGGTGGTCCAGTGGTTAAGACTCCACATTCCCAATGCAGGGGGCCTGGGTTTGATCCCTGGTCAGGGAACTGAATCCCACATGCCGCAACTAAGACCTGGTGCAGCCAAATAAATAAATATTAAAAAAAAAAAATCCCATATTGTATAGGTAAAACCTCCATTGCGTCTTAGGGTCCCGATCCATATGAAACAAAATGTCAACAGGACTATAAAAGTTGTAATGATGAGAAGGGCCCACAGAAATTCTGTCATGTTTCTCTTTTTTTTTTTTGTCATGTTTCTTATTCCCCAGATAAAGGTGGTCGGTAGTGACAGGTAATTAAAAAAAAAAAAAATTCATAGAACTAGTCATTATGCGGATCTCCCTTATTCCCATCCTTGCCAAATCCAGAAAAAATAAAACAAACAAAAAAAAACATACCTAGTCTTGGTGTTAATTTTCTCCATGTGTTTTTTAAGTGCACTTGAAAGCTGCATCCTATAGAGGAAAAAAGCTTCCATTATAAAACATGGTTAACATTTAGGGTACACTGAAAAAGAAAATTTAAAAATACAACAAGGTAAAGATTGATTTCTCTTTAAATATAACATAAAACAAAAGTAGGTTTTTAAACAGTATCATATGGGAAATACTTTGATAAGTAAGTTATAGAAATATGAAGGAACACCAATATGGATGCGGCTGTTGCATGCAGTTGTGCATATGGCCAGAGAGGGGGGCTGAGCAGACCTGACACCCAGCCTGAACTTGCTCTCCAAGCCGTCCACCTTGGTGCGGGGCTGCGAGGAAGCATTAAGGCACTACAAAATGTAATGTACAACACAATAAACATGTTTAACACTGCTGTAAGTTATTATGTGCAAGTTGTTAAGAGAATAAATCCTAAGAGTTCTCACCACAAGAAAATAATTTTTTTTGCTATTTCTTTAATTTTGTATCTATATGAGATGATGTTCATTAAACCTAATGTGATAATCATTTCAGGATGCAAGTCAAAACATTATGCTGCACACCTTAAACTTATACAGTGCAGTATATCAATTATATCTCAATAAAACTGGAAGGAAAAAAAAAGGTACTACAGAGATCAACAGGGGCCCAAAATGTGTAGTTAGGGAATACAAAACCATACTTGGCTGTGAACTTTAAAATGTGTCTATGTAAAAGCTAGCACTGTAATTTATTTTTAAATTCAAATAGCTAATAAATCATAACAAAAAGGCAATCAGGGGCTTCCCTGGTGACGCAGTGGTTAAGAATCCACCTGCCAATGCAGGGGACACAGGATCGAGCCCTGGTCCGGGAAGATCCCACATGCCACGGAGCAACTAAGCCCGCGCACCATGACTACTTACCCTGCGCTCTAGAGCCCGAGAGCCACAACTACTGAGACTGTGTGCCACAACTACTGAAGCCCACACACCTAGAGCCTGTGCTCCGCAACAAGAGAAGCCACTGCAATGAGAAAGCCATGCACTGCAAAGAAAAGTAGCCCCTGCTCGCCGCAGCTAGAGAAAGCCTGTGCACAGCAATGAAGACCCAAAGCTGCCAAAAATAAATTTAAAAAAAAAAGGCAATCAGCTCAGCAATATTAGTCATTTCATTAAAGGGGGATATCTTAATAGCTCTGAAGCCACCTTAGTTAAAAAATACGATCTATATAATAAGCCAGCATATGAAATGAGGGAAAAAAGTTCACTGCTAGAAGCAATTAAAAGGGATTTAACTACTTTTCAATTAAATGTAAATAAATTCATCTGGGACGGCCAGAAATACAAGGAAAAAACTGTTAAAAGTCATTCACTTAATTGAGATTATTAATTCAGATCATAAGTCTATAATAGAGGCCACTGTTTGTCTTATTAACAACTGTATGCCAGCTCCAGCACAAAGCTTACGACACAGGAAGCACTCAAATATCTGTTGAATGAATTTTAAAATATATATGCAAAGCCTAAAATTAAAAATATATTTAAACTCAATGACAATTCTTTTACTCCATTAAGAGTTACTGGAATAGGGGACTTCCCTGGTGGTCCAGTGGTTAAGAATCCACCTTCCAATGCAGGGGACACAGGTTCGATTCCTGGTTGGGGAACTAAGATCCCATATGCCGCGGGACAACCAAGCCCTTGAGCCACAACTACTGAGCACACAAGCCACAACTAGAGAGCCTGCATGCCGCAACTGTTGCGCTCGAGCGCCAAAACTAGAGAGAAGCCCAGGCGCCACATGAAGATCACGCGTCCCCCAACTAAGACCCGATGCAGTCAAAAAGTAAAATAAATAAACAAATATTAAAAAAAAAGTTACTGGAGTAAATGAATCCATATAATCATTTCAAACACAGAATGAGATTTAACCTCACACTTTAACTGTCTTGACTGACATTTCCTTATTAACCTTATCTTATGTAACTTCTTCAAATGAAGACATTAATGAATGATGTAACTTTTCTCTCAGGGCTCAAAATTTGTGGGACCATTATCTAAACATCATTTTGATTGATTACTTCAGACTAGCTAAAATATCCCCTCCACCTTGAGCCATACCCATTTTGCATACTTAAAACACAATAACTGGGCTTCCCTGGTGGCACAGTGGTTGAGAGTCCGCCTGCCGATGCAGGGCACGCGGGTTCGTGCCCCGGTCCGGGAAGATCCCACATGCTGCGGAGCAGCTGGGCCCATAAGCCATGGCCGCTGAGCCTGCGCGTATGGAGCCTGTGCTCCGCGACGGGAGAGGCCACAACAGTGAGATGCCCACATACCGCAAAAAAAAAAAAAAAAGGTAATAATTACCTGTCTAACGCAAGCTTTTTCATTTCAAAAGCAATTTTTGCCTCTTCAATTTCTTTTTCCAGTTCTTCAATTTTACTGCCAAAGAAGCATGAACAAAAGAATTTCAGCAATATCAGAAAAAGTAACTACTTGAAGAAAGGTATAAAGTAAATCTTTGAAGAAAGTTAAATGCCTGTTCTCTAAATAAAAGTATTCCACAGGCTCCCAACACCTATGCATTTACAGATTTGGTAAACTGATTCCTGCTATGATACTTCGCTAAGTATCTTGTTAAGGTGTGGAGGATGACAAAAGTGCTAATATGATCACTCATGTGCATGTAAGTCTACATCCCACATCAACAACTTCTCAATACGTGCATGACAAATTACTTGGGAAAAAAAAGGAAAGGAAAAAGAAAGACAATATCATAAGGTGGATAATATTATTAAATCTGTAAAAGCCACAACTAAAATTTAAAAATATGACCTACGCTTCAATTTGCTTTTCCTGCATGATTTGTTCTGGAGTTTTTTCTTCATCTACAAATAAATAAATTTTTGACGTTAGTAGTATTTTATTAAAGCATTGTCCAAAAGAAATATAATGTAAGCCACAAATGCAAACCAAATATGTAATTTTTAATTTCATTTCCACACTACAAAAGAAACAAATGAAAATAATTTTAATATAGCTTATTAAACCCAACAGATCCAAAATATTATCGTTTCAACATGTAATCAATTTCTAATTACTACTGAAATATTTCACATTCTTTTCTTCTGTGCATATTTTACATTTACAGTGCTTCTCAATGAGGACTAACCACATTTCAAGTGTTCAACGGTCACACGGAGCTAATGTCTACCACGTCGGACAGCACAGTTATGGAATGATAGAAAAAGAGTAAAAAATGAACAAGATCACAGGGCTTCCCTGGTGGCACAGTGGTTGAGAGTCCACCTGCCTATGCAGGGGACACGGGTTCGTGCCCCGGCCCGGGAAGATCCCACATGCCGCGGAGTGGCTAGGCCCGTAAGCCATGGCCGCTGAGCCTGCGCATCCAGAGCCTGTGCTCCGCAACGGGAGAGGCCACAATGGGAGAGGCCCGCGTACCGCAAAAAACAAAAAACAAGATCAATGTAAAAAAAAAAACAACTGTACGTCTATATATTAGCAACAAACAATAGGAAATTAAACTTTAAAAATACATGTAAAATTGCACGCAAACACACAAAATACTTAAGGATAAATTTAACAAAATACATGTATGACCTCTACATTGAACACTACCAAATACTATAAGTTTATTTAATTTATTTTATTTATTTATTTGTTTTTGACTGTGTTGGGTCTTCATTGCTGCGTGTGGGCTTTCTCTAGCTGCGGCAAGCAGGGGCTATTCTTCGTTGTGGTGTGCGGGCTTCTCACTGCGGTGGCTTCTCTTGCTGTGGATCATGGGCTTTAGGCACACAGGCTTTAGCAGTTGTGGCTCACGGGCTCTACAGCACAGGCTCAGTAGTTGTGGTACATGGGCTTAGTTGCTCCGTGGCCTGTGGGATCTTCCCAGATCAGGGCTTGAACCCATGTCCCCTGCACTGGCAGGCGCATTCTTAAGCACTGCGCCACCAGGGAAGACCCCATTACAAAATACTGAAATGGAAAGATAAACTATCTATATGTATTGGGAGAATCATTATCGCTAATATAACAATTTCACCCATACTGATCTATAGATCCCACTCAAATCCCAGTCAAATCTGTAGAAATTGACAAACTGATTTTAAATGCATATAGAAAAACAAAGGACCAAGAATAATCAAAGCAATTTTGACAAAGAATGTTGAAGGACTTACAAGAGCTGACAATCAAGACTTACTATAAAGCTACAGTCATCCAAACAGCATGGTATCATTGTAAGGATAGACAAATACCTCAAAGGAACAGAAGAAAAAGTCCAGAAATAGACCTACACATATACAATGGATAAAGAAAAGTCTTTTCAACAGTGCTAGAAAAACTGGATTTCTATATGGAAAACAAATGAACCTTTATCCTTACTTAGCGCACACCATACACAAAAGTTACTCCAAAAGTAGCAGGATACAAAATTAATGCACAGAAATCTCTTGCATTCCTACACACTAATGATGAAAAATCTGAAAGAGAAATTAAGCAAACACTCCCATTTACCATTGCAACAAAAAGAGTAAAATACTTAGGAATAAACCTACCTAAGGAGACAAAAGACCTGTATGCAGAAAACTATAAGACACTGATGAAAGAAATTAAAGATGATACAAACAGATGGAGAGATATACCATGTTCTTGGATTGGAAGAATCAACATTGTGAAAATGACTATACTACCCAAAGCAATCAATAAATTCAATGCAATCTCTATCAAACTACCAATGGTATTTTTCACAGAACTAGAACAAAAAATTTCACAATTTGTATGGAAATATAAAAGACCCCGAATAGCCAAAGCAATCTTGAGAAAGAAAAATGGAGCTGGAGGAATCAGGCTCCCTGACTTCAGACTATATGACAAAGCTACAGTAATCAAGACAGTATGGTACTGGCACAAAAACAGAAATATAGATCAATGGAACAGGATAGAAAGCCCAGAGATAAATCCACACACATATGGTCACCTTATTTTTGATAAAGGAGGCATGAATATACAATGGAGAAAAGACAGCCTCTTCAATAAGTGGTGCTGGGAAAACTGGACAGCTACACGTAAAAGTGAAATTAGACCACTCCCTAACACCATATACAAAAATAAACTCAAAATGGATTAAAGACCTAAATGTAAGGCGAGACACTATAAAACTCTTAGAGGAAAACATAGGCAGAACACTGTGACATAAGTCACAGCAAGATCCTTTTTGACCCACCTCCTTGAGAAATGGAAATAAAACCAAAAATAAACAAATGGGACCTAATGAAACTTAAAACCTTTTGCACAGCAAAGGAAACCATAAACAAGACGAAAAGACAACCCTCAGAATGGGAGAAAATATTTGCAAACGAAGCAACTGACAAAGGATTAATCTCCAAAATATACAAGCAGCTCATGCAATTCAATATCAAAAAACCAAACAACCCAATCCAAAAAATGGGCAGAAGACCTAAAGAGACATTTCTCCAAAGAAGATATACAGATTGCCAACAAACACATGAATGGATTCTCAACATCCTTTCATTAGAGAAATGCACTAATCATTAGAGAGGTGCAAATCAAACTATAATGAGGTATGACCTCACACCATTAAGAATGGCCATCATCAGAAAATCTACAAACAATAAATGCTGGAGAGGGTGTGGAGAAAAGGGAATCCTCTTGCACTGTTGGTGGGAATGTAAACTGATACAGCCACTATGGAGAACAGTATGGAGGTTCCTCAAAAAACTAAAAACAGAGCTACCATACGACCCAGCAATCACACTACTGGGCATATACCCTGAGAAAACCATAATTCAAAAAGAGTCATGTACCGCAATGTTCACTGCAGCTCTATTTACAATAACCAGGACGTGGAAGCAAGCTAAGTGTCCATCGACAGACGAATGGATAAAGAAGATGTGGCACATATACACAATGGAATATTACTCAGCCATAAAAATAAACGAAATTGAGTTATTTGTAGTGGGGTGGATGGACCTAGAGTCTGTCATACAGAGTGAAGTAAGTCAGAAAGAGAAAAACAAATACCATATGCTAACAGATATATATGGAATCTAAAAACAAACAAAAAAATGGTTTTGAAGAACCGGGGGGCAGGACAGGAATAAAGACGCAGACATAGAGAATGGACTTGAGGACACGGGGAGGGGGAAGGGCAAGCTGGGACGAAGTGAGAGAGTGGCGTGGTCATATACACACTACCAAATGTAAAACAGATAGCTAGTGGGAAGCAGTCACAGAGCACAGGGAGATCAGCTCGGTGCTTTGTGTCCACCTAGAAGGGTGGGATAGGGAGGGTGGGAGGGAGACACGAGGGAGGAGATATGGGTATATATGTATATGTATAGCTGATTCACTGTTATACAGCAGAAACTAACACACCATTGTAAAGCAATTATACTCCAATAAAGATGTTTAAAAAAAAAAAAAGAATCTCAGTCCTGTACTTTAAACCTAACACCTTAAGACATCTAGAACAAAACACAGGAGAAAACTTTGCAACCTTGGGGTAGTCACAGTTTCTTAGATAGAACTCAAAAACCACAAAGTACAAAAGAAAAGAGTGAAGAATAGTGCTTCATCAAAATTAATGCCTTCTGCTCCTCAAAAGTCAATGTTAGGGCTTCCCTGGTGGCACGGTGGTTGAGAGTCGGCCTGCCGATGCAGGGGACACGGATTCATGCCCCGGTCCGGGAAGATCCCACATGCCGCGGAGCGGCTAGACCTGTGAGCCATGGCCGCTGAGTCTGCACGGGCTGGAGCGTGTGCTCCGCAATGGGAGAGGCCACAACAGTGAGAGGCCCGCGTACTGCAAAAAAAAAAAAAAAAAAAAAAAAGACAATGTTAAGGAAGTAAAAAAGGAAGCAACAAACTAGGAGAAAATTTCTGCCATATATGTATACATATGTATATACACACACACACATATATTTATTTATTTACCTGAAAAAGGACTGTATTCTTGTTTTTAAAGGAGTGAATATTTTATTCTTTAGTGTTTAATAGAATACATCATGTATTCAGTTATAATTAAAGAACTCAAACTCAATGAGACTAACAATCCAATTAAAAAATGGGTAAGCACCTCCTAGAGTAATGGAAATAAAAACAAAAAGAAACAAATGGGACCTAATGAAACTTCAAAGCTTTTGCACAGCAAAGGAAACCATAAACAAGACCAAAAGACAACCCTCAGAATGGGAGAAAATATTTGCAAATGAAGCAACTGACAAAGGATTAATCTCCAAAATTTACAAACAGCTCATGCAGCTCAATAACAAAAAAACAAACAACCAAATCCAAAAATGGGCAGAAGACCTAAATAGACATTTCTCCAAAGAAGATATACAGACTGCCAACAAACACATGAAAGAATGCTCAACATCATTAATCATTAGAGAAATGCAAATCAAAACTACAATGAGATATCATCTCACACCAGTGAGAATGGCCATCATCAAAAAATCTAGAAACAATAAATGCTGGAGAGGGTGTGGAGAAAAGGGAACACTCTTGCACTGCTGGTGGGAATGTGAATTGGTTCAGCCACTATGGAAAACAGTATGGAGGTTCCTTAAAAAACTACAAATAGAACTACCATATGACCCAGCAATCCCACTACTGGGCATATACCCTGAGAAAACCAGAATTCAAAAAGAGTCATGTACCAAAATGTTCACTGCAGCTCTATTTACAATAGCCAGGAGATGGAAACAACCTAAGTGCCCATCATCGGATGAATGGATAAAGAAGATGTGGCACATATATACAATGGAATATTACTCAGCCATAAAAAGAAATGAAATTGAGCTATTTTTAATGAGGTGGATAGACCTATAGTCTGTCATACAGAGTGAAGTAAGTCAGAAAGAAAAAGACAAATACCGTATGCTAACACATATATATGGAATTTAAGAAAAAAAAAATGTCATGAAGAACCTGGGGTAAGACAGGAATAAAGACACAGACCTACTGGGAATGGACTTGAGGATATGGGGAGGGGGAAGGGTCAGCTGTGACAGGGCAAGAGAGAGGCATGGACATATATACACTAATAAACGTAAGGTAGATAGCTAGTGGGAAGCAGCCGCATGGCACAGGGACATCAGCCCGGTGCTTTGTGACCGCCTGAAGGGGTGGGATAGGGAGGGTGGGAGGGAGGGAGACGCAAGAGGGAAGAGATATGGGAACATATGTATATGTATAACTGATTCACTTTGTTGTAAAGCAGAAACTAACACACCATTGTAAAGCAATTATACCCCAATAAAGATGTTTAAAAAAAAAAATGGGTAAGGATTTGAATGGATATTTCATAAAAGTAGATTTATACATCTACTTCATAAAAGTAGATGTATAAATTGCCAAAAAGACATGAAAAGATAATCAACATTAGTTATTAGGGAAATGTAAATTAAAACCACATGAGATACTACTATATACTTACTAGAATGGCTAAAATTTTTTTTTTTTTTTTTTATGGCTAAAATTTAACAAGACTGACAGGGGACTTCCCTGGTGGTGCAGTGGTTAAGAATCCACCTGCCAATGCAGGGGACACGGGTTCGATCCCTGGTCTGGGAAGATCCCACATGCCACGGGGCAACTAAGCCCGTGCGCCACAACTACTGAGCCCGCGTGCGACATCTACTGAAGCCCACACCCTAGAGCCTTCACTGCAACTACTGAGCCCACACGCTGCAACTACTGAGCCCGTGCTCCACAATAAGAGAAACCACTGCAATGAGAAGCCCACACAGTGCAGTGAAGAGTGGCCCCTGCTCGCTGCAACTAGAGTAACCCATGCACAGCAACGAAGACCCAACGCAGCCAAAAAATAAATAAATTAACTAAAAAAAAAATGGTGAGGGCTTCCCTGGTGGCGCAGTGGTTGAGAGTCCGCCTGCCGATGCAGGGGACACGGGTTCGTGCTCCGGTTCGGGAAGATCCCACATGCCGCAGAGCGGCTGGGCCCGTGAGCCATGGCTGCTGAGCCTGCGCATCCAGAGCCTGTGCTCCGCAACGGGAGAGGCCACAACAGTGAGAGGCCCATGTACGGCAAAAAAAAAAAAAATGGTGAATTTTGTTACACGAATTAAGTCACAAAAGGAAGATGTCAGAAACAAAAAAATACATACCATATAAATCCATTTACATCAAATTCTAGAACAGTGCTGTCCAAACCACTGTTCTGTGATGAATGAAATGCTTAATATCTGCGCTGTCCAATATGGTAGCCACCAGCCACACTGTGGCTTCAGCATTTGATATGTGATTAGTGCAACAAAGAATTTTAAATTTTATTTGATTTTAATTAACTTAACTTTAAAAGGCCATCTGTAGCTAGTGGCTACTGTATTGGACAGCACTACTCTAGAAGACAAATCTATAGCAACAGAAATCAAATTGATGGTTGCTGGGGTCAGGGTGGGGACTGAGTGTGAAGTGGCACGGGCAGGTGTGACAGAAATGTTCTACGTCTTGATTGTGGTGGTAGTTACAGAGATGTATACATTTGTTAGAACTCATCAAATTGTACCCTTAAAATAGATGCACTTATTGTAAAAAAAATTTCTTCATGCAAGAAAGTCTCAGTTATATATATATATATAGTGTGTGTGTGTGTGTGTGTGTGTGTGTGTGTGTGTGTGGTACGCGGGCCTCTCACTACTGTGGCCTCTCCCGTTGTGGAGCACAGGCTCCGGACACGCAGGCTCAGTGGCCATGGCTCATGGGCCCAGCCGCTCCGCGGCATGTGGGATCTACCTGGACCAGGGCACGAACCCACGTCCTCTGCATCGGCAGGCGGACTCTCAACCACTGCACCATCAGGGAAGCCCTCAGTAATATATTTTTTAATGGTAAAACACAATCAATTTTAGACAAATATCTTCTCTCAAAGACTACAACCTAACTACTTATGGTTTGCTTCAAATCTGTCCTCTCCTTTAGTTGTAGAAATTCTAGAGTGTGGACTATTAAATCTACTCAAGTTTTCAGATGTCACAAGCCCTTAAAAATAAAATTATCTATACAGGGAAAACAAGAACTGCAGGAGGAGGCAGACTCTTTTATCACTTGGATTTTAGCTTTAAGGTCATCTTCTCAAAGAAGCCATCTCTGATTCCTCTGTCTAAAGTAGACACTCCCTCTTATCACACCATTATTTCCTTCATCACATTTACCTCACCTCATAATTATCTCACATGTTTCTTTGCTTACCTGTTTTGCTACATAGAATTTAAGCTCCATGAGGGTAAAGTCTGCCTTGTTCAACACCATATCTCCATCCCTAGCATCAATTCATTCAACTATGAGTGCAGGAATACTCATAGAGATAATTCTTCAGTGGTCCAAATTTTGTATAGCTTTTCCCTTATACCTCGACATCTAAGATCAAATATACATTTTTTTTCTTTTCTTTTCTTTTTTTTTGTGGTACGCGGGCCTCTCACTGTTGTGGCCTCTCCCGCTGCGAAGCACAGGCTCCAGATGCGCAGGCTCAGTGGCCATGGCTCACGGGCCCAGCCGCTCCGCGGTATGTGGGATCTTCCCGTACCGGGGCACGAACCCGTGTCCCCTGCATCGGCAGGCGGACTCTCAACCACTGCGCCACCAGGGAAGCCCTAAATATACTTTTTTATTATGTGGGCTCTCATGCCAGAAAAAGCATTAGGTATGTTGTACTTCTCATCTCTAAGGTAAACATAATTGGTTTAATACAAGGAACACGGGCTTTGGAAACAAGAACACCATTAATTCCTCCAGGGGAAGGGCAGGGACCTACTAACCATCTTTGAGTTAAGCATTTTTTAAATTGAAGTATAGTTGATTTACAATGTTTTTTATAATGTTGTATCAGTTTCAGGTATACAGCAAAGTGATTGAGTTTTACATATATATATGTATATACACATTTATATATATTTTATATATGTAATAGATATTCTTTTTCAGGAGGTAAGCATTATCGATGTAACAAAAGGGATATGGCTTTGGAGGCAAGAAGGCCTGGTTCATATCCTAGTTCCTATAGTTACTAGTTACAGTAAGCAGAAAAGAGGCTGGGGGGCCCATTTTTTTAGGGTTTGGTTTGGTTTGGTTTTTTGCAAAATATGACTTTAGAAACCCTGGAATGGAGATGGAAAACACATGGAAATGCCTTCAGATCTATGGCCTTAAAGAGAGCTTGAGCAGAGCTCAAAAATTACCTAAGTTCAAACACGGATTCAGGGAACTGATTAAGACATCTATGAGGTCCCCCGGCTTCTCCACAATTTTTTTTAAAAAAAAGATTTATTTATTTATTTATTTTGGAGGTGCCAGGCCTTAGTTGCGGCACACGAGATCTTCGTTGTGGCACGTGGGTTCTTTTAGTTGCAGCATGCGTGTGGGATCTAGTACCCTGACCAGGGATTGAACCTGGGCCCCCTGAGCTGGGAGCGTAGAGTCTCATCCACTGGACCACCAGGGAAGTTCCTCCACAATTCCTGATTCCACCTAGTGTACTATTTGATTTTACTCTTTAAGCTTATTTCATAGGGAAAGAAAGAGTAACCAAAATCTATCTTTGTGACCCAAGGGCTTACAATAAATCAGGTGGCTATTAGGTGGTTATTACTTCAGGATGACTAAACCATCATTTTACTACTCTCTTGGTCCCTGAGATTTCTGGATTAATAATTTTAAAAGATAAATTTAAAATTTTTCTGTGTTTAGAATTGAAAATTTTTACTTATGCCTTTATGCCTCTTCTGCTCTCATGCCAATAATCCAGTGTTTCTCAAAGTATAGGTCTCAGATCACTTGCTTAACAATCATCTAATCTGCTAATTTAATGTTCAGGTTGTTGATGGTAGCAAGTTTTGTGATACCCTAAGCCCACAGGGATTTCCAAATTCTCTGATCAACAGAACTTAATTGTCCTGAATTGTTATTTACTTGTTTTATATACATTTCTTGAATTCCTAACTAGTTCCTTAGGGCCAGGGCAAGCCTGCTTTTTGCATTCTTACAGGGTATAGTACTGCATTATGCTGGCCCTCCCATTCCCTAAATAAATATATTTTTGTAAAATTGGTGTTTTCCCTGGAGTACTGTTCATCAACAAACTCACAAAACCTTATTTGAAAATGAAAATACTTACTTGCGTCAACCATTGATTTATATTCCAAGAGTTGTTGTTTGGTCTGTGCTCTTACCCTGAAAACAGATAAAGAGAAGAAAGTTATATACTTATTGAGGTTTTACTCATTACTATATTATAAATCAACTCATCTTTTTGGCAATTTGATGCAACAAAATGAGTATAAATAAATAGCATTAAGGTCTTCCATTTTGGCCTATTTTATTTAAAACAGGTATAAAGAATTTAAGGCCTCAGAAAAATACGCAAAATGAAATACAGTAGGAAAACAGCATCTGTGAGGAAAAGTTTAAAATTTGATTTTTAAATTTATTCTTAATGGGCCACACTGAAATGAGGCTTAAAGAGAAGGGCTACACAAAGAAATAGATCAAAACGAGTCAGGTGGACCTTTGTGAGAATAGTGTTTGGTAGCCAGGACCTCTTTTGGGCATTTCTTCCTAAGAGGAAAACACAACAAATAAGGGAATAGGGGAAGGTAATACAGGGAAGCTATTCTTTCCAGGAGTTGATGAAGCCCATATATGCATTCAAGAAGGCCATGGGATACTCTAGCTGTGGACAGTGGCTAATATGGCCATCCAGAATTGACAATGGACTGCAGTAGCATTTTCCTATATGGCTCCAAGAACTCTGGATAGGGAATGATCAGATCCAAAGACTCACAGATAATATGAATGGGAATAGTTAAAGGCAAGAGCTCCGACCCGGTGTCTTCTAAACTTCCTCTGATGTATATATTATAAAAGACTGTTGATAACTAAGTTCCCATCTCCCATCACTGTTGCCTATCCCTGTCCACAGGTCCCACAACTCACTGTCAGAGGGTCGGGTATATGGCCCAAAGACTGGGGTGAGACCTTGAGAGAATACAAAGAAGTTCATGAATCATGTGAGAATGGGTGAAAGCATGCCTCCATCTTTGAGAGGCCTTTGAAGGAGAGGATGGTGAGTCTTGGGAAATACAACTCTGTTTGACAGAGACTCTTCATTCATAGTAAGCCGACCAGATCAAATCAGCTTGAACCTGCAGAGCAGCTCCTGGGCAAAGACATCTACATAATCATGAGAAAAAAGGTTGGTCCTGAGGTTGTGTTCCAATAAAACTTTACTTAAGGGGACTGAAATTTAATTTCACATAATTTTCATCTGTTATTAAATATTCTTGTGACTTCCCCCCCCCAACCATTTAAACACATGAAAACCATCCTTAGCTTGAGGGGGTCACACAACAACAGAGTAGGATGGATAAGGCCAGGGCCACAGTTGCCCACTGGTGTAAAAGACTGATGTCCTTTATCATCAAATCTTGCCCTAGCAACATAGAGACGTTGCTTCCTGGTAGAAAATATAACAAATGAAGCTTCTGCATTGAAAAGGGCCATAGCTACAACAGGAAAGGGCGGAGCCACCTCCCTCCGAAGTTATCAGGGCTTCGATGCAACCCACATAAGGGCTTGAAAATCGGGGTCCCAGGGCATGAGTGGGTAAGAAAGGAGGCGTTAATTACAGCTCAGTAGGCTCTAAGGGCCCTTTGCTAAACGCTGACTCCAGAATATCTCGTTTAATGCCCACAGCAACTCTGCTAGGAAGCTGTCATTTTTCTCTCCTTTGCCAAGATTAAAAAAGGGGCTTAAAGAGCTTAAGTGAATGATGCAGTCACGCAGCCATTAAGCGACCGACGCTGAATTCGAACCCTGGACATTTCTAAGCAAAGCGGGGAGCTCCTGGCCACGACGCCCACTTGGTTCCCGCCCAGCCGGCCAGAGGGAACAACCTGAGCAGCAGCGCCATGCGGTCCTCGGGACGCGCCGCCTGGGGGCCGGCGACCTGCGGCGGCTCGCCTTCCCCTCTGGAGTCCGCGGCCTCGGCAGCGGCTTGCTCCTCGGACTGCGTCTCCATCCGCGGAGCGAAGAGCTACCACTCAGGACCGGAACACTCTGCCCTAGAAGGCGCTGCTTTTCCCGCCACTAAATTGACACCGGAAGGGACCGCAGGGTCATCGCGCCGCCCCGCCCCTTCCTCCGCAGGGCCCCGCCCCTTCCTCCGCAAGGCCCGCCCTTTCCGCCCCGGTCTCTGCTGGTTGCTGTCCCTTCTTTTACCATGCCTGGCCCAGGTACTAGTTAAAACCGTTACAAACCACTAGTGAAAGTTGGAAGCACTCTGATTTAGCGTCAGCTCTGTCGAGTGCTGGGCTAAGGGCTATATGCAGCAGCCGTTCGGGGCCACTCCCCGGCTCCTGGCACCGCGGCCTAGAGGGGAGAACCCCGACATCACAGGTCTTTCAGCCTTGGAGCTGGGATAGCCGTTACTGACCCACCTTAGCACTCCCCTTCCATCCGCGGCCTTCAAGATGGCTGTGCCCGGCAGGCTGGCAGAGATAAACATTGGAGGGTTAGGTAGACTTTTGCTCTGAGCTCATTAAGTCCAGGCCCCTCATTTGGCGGAGAAGAGTGGCCCAAGCTCAGCGATACCCACTTCCTCCCCACGAGGCAATGCAGACTTCCAGTTTGAAATTCAGCTGTCAGTAAGATTCGAACTCGTAACAGAGTTGGGTGCCCCCAAGTGTCAGTTTGATGATCCGGCAGATTACAGGTGAGCTTTCTTGGCTGAGCAGTGACCGGGCAACGCAGGACATAAATGCCTGACTGGTTTGTAGTTTTTCACTATGGTCAGTCGTGTAAGAGGGACAGTCTTTGCTGCACAAGCACAAGCAGCTCGGGCCTCTGAACAACAGAGCCGAGCATTCCCTTCTATAGCGAGTTGTCCCTGAGTTATACTTGTTCACACAATTCTCCCCTTTCTTCCTATTATCAAAGTAATTCAGCTCCTGGTAAAAGATTCAAAGGCACGGTCGGATGTAAAATGTCCGGTTCACCACTCCTACTGCCAAATTCCTGGAAGAACATTTTGCTTCCTTTTTTCTTTACAAAAAAGTGACCCTATTCTTTTTGCACTTAACTGCTTTTATCGGGATGTCTTCCAATATCTCACATCAATCTCATCCTTTCAAGCAGTTGCCTATCAGGTGTCCACAGGCCAAATATGGGATGAAGACTATGCAGTGGCTCTCCAATCTGAGCATGCATCGGAATCAATGTCCAATAATACAGAATGGAGGATAAATTAGATAATTACCATCATCCCACTCCCAGTGAGATAAGACTACTCAAAGCAAGTATCGTTAATCAACGTTAAAACTAAAAAGAGAACAGCACCTTTACATCAAAACTCATCTGGTGGTTACCATCTTACCCAGATGATCAAATGTGGTATCACCAGTAGTGTTTAACAATCTGATACGTGACTCCAGTGATGCATAAGTTGTGCAAATCACCAATATTCTTGCCAAAATGCATAACCTGAACTTAACTATGAAGAAACAATCAGACAACAAATCTGGAATGAAGGACATTCTACAAGAAAAATGGCCTAGACAATTCATGTTAAAAAGCAGGGCAATTGGGACTTCCCTGGTGGCACAGTGGTTAAGAATCTTCCTGCCTGCCAGTGCAGGGGACACGGGTTTGAGCCCTGGTCTGGAAGATCCCACATGCCGCGGAGCAACTAAACCTGTGCACCACAACTACTGAGCCTGTGCTCTAGAGCCTGTGAACCACAACTGAGTCCATGTGCCACAACTACCGAAGCCTGCATGCCTACAGCCCATGCTCTGCAACAAGAGAAGCCACTGCAAGGAGAAGCCCACGCTCAGCAACAAAGACCCAATGCAGCCATAAATAAATAAATAAATAAATAAAGCAGGGCAATTGTTCTGTATGGAAAAAGAAATGAAACTAAGACATTTTTGGAATGATTGTGGAAATTTGATTATGTACTGTATATTACATATGGAGTTGTTAACTTTCTTAGTGTGATAAAGATTATGGGGACTTCCCTGGTGGTCCAGTGGTTAAGACTTCGCCTTCCAATGCAGTGGGTGCAGGTTCGATCCCTGGTCAGGGAGCTAAGATACGACATGCCTCATGGCCAAAAAAACCAAAACGTAAAACAGAAGCAATATTGTAACAAATCCAATAAAGATTTAAAAAATGGTCGAAATCAAAATTAAGGGTCTTAATTCTTAGGACATAGATGCATGATGGAAGTATTTAAGGGGACATTATATTGACACCTGAGATTTACTTTCAAATGGCTCTTAAAAATAGGAATTTATGTACACAATTGCACACACGTGTGTATATGACCGCCATACAGTTTTTTTTTCTCTGTAGCCTTAATATTTGCCTACGTAAATCACTGAAACTTTGTTTCCTATTAGGAAATAAAATCCATGGGATATTTACATAAGTCAATGAAGTACTTATCCACATAGAAAAGTTTTGAAAGGCTTCTTACAGACCTTACTTCCAATGAAATAAAAAATTACCAACATATAGATGTCTGACAAAAAAAATAAACTGGGACTTCCCTGGTGGTGCAGTGGTTAAGAATCTGCCTGCCAATGCAGGGGACACGGGTTCAATCCCTGGTCCAGGAAGATCCCACATGCCGTGGAGAAACTGAGCCCGTGTGCCACAACTATTGAGCCCACGTGCCGCAACTACTGAAGCCCGTGCACCTAGAGCCCGTGCTCTGCAACGAGAAGCCACCGCAATGAGAAGCCCCTGCTGGCCACAACTAGAGAAAGCCCGTGCTCAGCAACGAAGACCCAATGCAGCAAAAATAAACTACTTAGAAAATAAGCAGTAAAACAATCTCCAGATCAAAAAGGATCACAAAATAACCAGATACTGATGAAAGAGAACTTTAGAAACTAGCTATCACAGAGGAAAATGTATATACAAAGGCTTTTATTACTAAAATTATATTAAATATTTAACCTAAACTAGAAAATAACCAAAAGAAAAGCAGATGGTGAGAATTAACATAAAAGCTAAAACTACAAAATAAAGGTAGTAGAAATGATACCTTTGTATCATTGTTTCAAAACACCAGTAAAAGACCCCCTAGCCAAACCTGATTAGAAAACACAAGTATTCAACATCAGGAATGAGAAGTTATAATACAAAAGAGATTGAATAATATCATATACCTCTACAGCTATAATTTAGAAAATCCAGAATGGATGATTTTCTAAGGTGGTGGTGGTGGTGAATTCCTAAAAAACACCAGAAAACCATGGAAAGCTACCATTACAAGCAGCAACAGGCCAGGTGACTTTACAGATTAATTTAGCTAGCTTTCAGTAAATGAATAGATTTTAAATTTCTCTTCCTGCTGTGAGTTTTTAATAGTCAAGGCTGGGGAATTTTATTTACTCTTTCAGCTTATGATATCATTGGAGTTTTTCTGTTTTTTTTTTAAAAAGACTAACAGATAAATATTAGATGGTAAAAATATTGAAGAGATGTCTAATCCAGGAATAAGACGGGGATCTACCGATTATCAATGTTGTTTTGGAGACTCTAAAACAATAACTTAAAAATCATATAGTTGGGGCTTCCCTGGTGGTGCAGTGGTTGAGAATCTGCCTGCTAATGCAGGGGACACGGGTTCGAGCCCTGGTCTGGGAAGATCCCACATGCCACGGAGCAACTAGGCCCATGAACCACAACTACTGAGCCTGCACGTGTGGAGCCTGTGCTCCGCAACAAGAGAGGCTGCGATAGTGAGTGGCCCCCGCTTGCCACAACTAGAGAAAGCCCTCGCACAGAAACGAAGACCCAACACAGCAAAAATAAATAAATAAATTAAAAGGCAGTCCCTCTGCATTAAAAATATATATAGATATATATCATACAGTTGAAAAAATAAAATTTGGGGATTTAAGGCCTAGAAAAGCACTAAAATCAAGAACATCGATGTCAACTGGGTAACAAAAATACAACTAGCAATAAAAAATAGAAATGGGGGCTTCCCTGGTGGCGCAGTGGTTGGGGGTCCGCCTGCCGATGTGGAGGACGTGGGTTTGTGTCCCGGTCCGGCAGGATCTCGCATGCCGCAGAGCAGCTGGACCCGTGGGCCATGGCCGCTGGGCCTCTGCGTCCGGAGCCTGTGCTCCGTGATGAGAGAGGCCACAGCGGTGAGAGGCCCGCGTACCGCAAAAAGAAAAAAAAAAAAAAAAAAAAGGTGGGACATATGGCCTATTCACAATAGTGACAAAAAAAAGCATAAACCCAAAAATAAACTTGACAAGAAAAGTACAGCAATTACATAATTAAATTCTAACATTGCAATGAAAGGCATGCAACAAGTCTTTGATGGAGAAAAATGCTTCTGGATGGGAAGACAATTATCAGTCTATCCAGAGCTAGTACATAACATTCTATATATACGTATATAATATACAGTCAAAATCTCAAAGGAGCTTTTCAGTAACTGGACAGAATTTTAAGGTTCATGTGTTTGAAATTGCCCCCACATATTTGGGAAACAGTGGTAGCCTCATCATACCAGATAAACTTAATGTAAAACTATATTAATCACAGGAAGAAACAAGTAGATCCGGGAACAATAAAAACTGATGTTTCAATTGTACAAGGAGGATTTTAAACATATAGTACTGGCTGGCACAAATGGCATCCATCTGGAAGTTAAGAATCCTATCTCATACAACATACAAAAAGTTTACTGGGCTTCCCTGGTGGCGCAGTGCTTGGGAGTCCGCCTGCCGATGCAGGGGACACGGGTTCGTGCCCTGGTCCGCGAAGATCCCACGTGCTGCGGAGCAGCTAGGTGCGTGAGCCATGGCCGCTGAGCCTGCGCGTCTGGAGCCTGTGCTCCACAACGGGAGAGGCCACAACAGTGAGAGGCGCGCGTACCGCAAAAAAAAAAAAAAACACCAAAAAACAGTGTACTGAGGGCTTGTAGACCTAAGCAGGAAAAATTTAGAAATTTAAGAGATGGTAATGGTTTGGGGATGATGTTGACCATAACACCAAAAATCCAAAAGCAACTACAGAAAAAAGTTTTGATAATATAAAAATTTAAAGTGTCTGCATGGCAAAAGATATAGCATAAACA